TAGGAGGAGGTGATGTTCCTCCCCCTGTACCATAGGGCCAAGAGTGCCATCAGATGTGCCGGTACCGAGGCACGGTTTTCACAACCCAAACACCAAGAAGGTGGATCGCATTTGTTCGCTCAACTCGGAAAAAAAAAGAAGAAGTATGCCGACAAGAGATTGCCGTTGAGGATGGAGTTCGAACCACGATGGAGAGAAGGCATTTATATGGGCTTGAGTGATCAGGTGGATGAAGGCCACTTGGTGTATGTCGACGGCACCTTCCTCCATACCAAGAACGTTCGTCCTGCAAAAGACCTTGTGGATCCGGAATACCTGAAGCCCGAGAACCTTTGCTGGTGGAGGAGGCAGATCATCAACCTGCGAGAATAAGATTGAGGGAGAAAACGACCATCAAGGCATTGGACACCAAGCAGAGGGATGATTGGTCTGAGAACCTCAATGACCCTGAAGCCTTTGCCAAGGAGCTCATCTACGAGGAGATCGATGTGGATGAAGAGGTTATTGCCAGGTTGTTTGAGATGCTTCCAAAGACCAGGACAACAAGAAACGTCAACCCCGAAAAGGAAGATGGCGAGGATGAAAAGGTGGCTCCAATGGATTGGTCGGCCGGCGCATTTGTGCATGGAGGTGTTTTGGGGCTGAAGAAGGGCACGAAGAAGTTCCCATATACTACCCGTGTGGTCAATCAGTTCATTGCCTCCAAGCTTGGAAACTGTGCCGGGGAATTGCCAACATGGACCACCTTCTCGCTCTTCGGGAACATTCTTGCCGGTCCACATCGAGACAGCCGCAATTTTGCCTCGTCGTCCTCTTACTTGATCCCTGTGAGTAGCTTCGATGGAGGTGGACTATGGGTGGAAGGATTAGAAGAGGGCAAAGAGGTCATCACTAAGAAAGGCAAGAATGGCTATGTGGTGGAATTCCCGATCGTGAATGGCGAAAAGGGACCAATCGAGTTCCATCCAAGAAAACTCCACTCAACCATGCCGTGGAAGGGGTTTAGATTGGTGGTGGCTGCCTGTACGGTAAGGAACTTCGACCGAGTAAGCAGTGCCGACCAGGACATGTTGACCGATCTGGGATTCAATATTCCGGGCAATTTGGCAGAGCCTCAAAAGGAAGTGGCGCTGAAGAAGCTCACGGGCCCAGATCCAGATCAAGCCCCGCCTCAAGGAGAACAGCCAAACCTGATGTTGAGGGTGGATGTAACGCACCTTCGAATGGAACCTGAAGAATGGTACGAGTGGAAGGGAGCTATGACTCGCGATGCGAACAACATGACCGAGGGCCTCGTGGAGCATTGGCGAGCGATAGCGCCGATGGACAATGAACCGGACACTTGGATTCCCAGTACGATTTTTCAGGACCTTGAACGAGACTGGGTGGAAGAACCAGATGTTCTCATGGTCGCCACTGATGGTAGTCTTTTACACTTGGCGAGAGTTCTGGCAATTCACTCAGTGGATTTGGTCGGAAGCTACGAAAACGGAGACCTCGAAGGCGAAAGAATCACTGTGGCGAGGATCAACAACCATATCTCTCTGGGAAGTCAGGAGAATCGTTCCGATGGATTCCCCTAGGCCCTTGGTCCAGATCCCAAGAAAACGAAATGGACCTGCAGATCCTGGTGATCCACGACTACCAAACCGGCGAAACGAACCTGATCAACCGGAACCTCGTTTGGCTACCTTCAAGAAGATTGACGAAGAGCCTGCCGTTGAGAATGACGACAAGTTCTTCATGGAGGTCGACTTGGAGGAGGATAGCCACATCCAAGCAAAAAAGGCCAATGTCCAGGAGCTTTACACCGAGAACCTAGAGAAGCTCTTGAGTGCCCGGAAAGCCCCACTGCAGGTGGTTCACACTTGTGATCCACGGGGAGCTTCGCAGCACTTGGAGTCATGGAAACCCGCTTTGAAGAAGGAGATCAAGGCAATGGAAGAAATGAAGGCCATTCGAAGATTGAGGGGAAAGGAGGCGAAGGAGTTCCGGGAAAACCCTGAATCCGTCATCGTGCCCTCGAAGTTGGTCTACACTGCGAAGCCCCCAAGCAAAGAAACGAAGGAATGGTTTCGAAGACGAGTCAGAGCAGTGGCTTGTGGAAACTTTGAGCAAGAAAGACCGGAAGGCTTTGGTGATCTCTATGCAGCAGGTGCTTCAATTGATGCTGTACGAGGAGTTCTTGCCGAGGCGAATTACAAGAAGTGGAGCGCTGCAACGGACGACACCAAGAATGCCTTCTTGACAGCACCTTTGGTTGAAGGAGATGGCAAAGGTCGTTATGCGATGGGGCCTCCAAGAGCCGCAGTTCGAGCAGGCCTAGCCGATGATGATGAGCTGTGGGTTGTGGACGCTGCAGTGTACGGATTTAAAAAGTCACCAAGGTGGTGGACAGTGTTTCGCAATTCTGTCACGAAGAATGCCACCTGGACGGATGACGATGGCGACGTGTACCACCTCGAGATGGCCAAAACGGACTTGAATCTCTTCAAGGTCTGGAAAGAGGATGTCAACAGTGGAAAGAAGGAGATAACTGGCTATGTGGTCTTCTATGTCGACGATATCCTTGCTGTGGGAACACCGGCAACCTTGGATGGTTTCTTTGGTTGGCTGAACGAGCACTGGGAAACCAGTGGTCGTGAGGATGTTCTCCCAGGTTGTCAACCGGTCCGCTTTCTTGGTCTGGAGCTGAGCATAAATGAGGAAGGCGAGTTCTGTGTGAGCCAGCAGGGGTACCTCCAAGAGCTTCTACGACTACGACAACCAAACTCCTACAGCAAGGTGCCGATTGCCAAGGACAACGCCTACATCGAGGAAGGGAACCTGAGGATCCGGAGCCCAAGGCCTTGAAGGAGGCCCAACAGCGATGTGGGGAGATCTTGTGGGCCTCACAGAGAGCGAGGCCAGATTTGGCCTATGGCATGTCGGTGATGTCATCAATAGTAGCAAAAGAGCCCAAGCGGGCTGTGGTGGTTGGAAAGAAAATGATGGCCTACGTCAAGGGGACCGTCGACGCTAAGATCCATTACCCGAAGGAGTTCGCCGAGGAAGACAAAACCCACGGCCTCACCTTGTTCACGGACGCCAGCTTCAGTCCACAAGGAACCCGTTCGCACACCGGCTACCTTGTCGTTTGGCGAGGAGTTGTTTTGGCGTGGAAGTCGGGGAGGCAAAGTCTGTGCACTCTGTCCTCTGCTGAGGCGGAGGTCGTTGCAATCACTGAAGGGGCACAGATGCTCAAGGCGGTGCAGACCACCCTGAATGACCTGGGCATCTTTCCCAAGCGGCTGGTGATCAAGATCGATAGTACATCGGCGATCTCCGTATTAAGTGGGGATGAAGGAGGATCGTGGAGAACAAGACATTTGAAGCTTCGCTACAACTGGATAAGGGAGGAGGTGCAAAGGGGCGAACTGGTGCTCCAACACCAGCCGGGCCTTCATCGGCGAGGATGAGAGAGATCATGGGTCTTTGGGGCTTGAGGCTCAAGGAGGACACGAAGGTGGCAGTCTTCAGTGTGGAGGATGAAACGTCAGAGAGTACCCCGACGGCAACAGCAACAGCAGAAGCGAAAGCACAAGAAGCAGCAGCAACAGACAGCACATCACAAGCATCCCAGGCTCTGAAAAGGGTGATCCAGCTAATGACTAGTTGTGGGTTGGTTTGTGGTGCCCAAGGGTGAAGCAACTGCCCCTGCTACGACGTCTGCGAGCATAAAGGAAGCTCTGGCTTCAGACTGGGAGATGTGGATGCTGTTTCTCCTACTAACCGTTGCTGTGGTCGCTGTTTGGGAGTGCATGAAGGGTTCGGCAAAGCAGATGGTTGAGCTGAAGGCGATGAGCATCAAGGCCAAGGACAAGGAGGAGCACCGGGAGATTTTGGCATTGTTGGCTAGGGCGAGGACCACCCAAGAAGAAGATCGGCTTCGCAGTTTGGCCTCCCGTCACTTCCCGGAACAGCTGCCTACAACCACAACACCAAGGGCGAGTACATCGCCGCCTACCCCAAGGAAACCTCAAGTACAGGATGCAGAAGTTCAGACCCTGCCGGCGTTCGAGAAACAGATCCTACGGGTGACGCAAGTCCCCTATGATGGACCGTTTTATATCGCTGGCTCGGGCGACTGCTATCACAGGTACCGAAATTGCTGGGGCCTGAGGAATGCTTCGAATGTGACGACGAGAAACCTTTGCATGTGTTGCAAGGATGGTGATGGAAATTCCTTGAGAGCAGCCGGTGCAGGATAGCAAATTGAATGCACGTTTTCTCCTATTGCCTGGAGGGCATAGGAATGCCTCAGCTCCCCGACAAACAGGGGTTCATGAGAAGTGGGCACCCCCTGACGGAGGGCCCAAGGAGGGGTGTTGATGCTGAGGTGACTTCGTCGGGACCGCGACCGTCGCAGGCACAGAGGCTCAAAGAGCCGAAAAACATCCCGGAAAGGGAAGTCACAGCATGCCGATTGGCGTCACAGCATAGCAGCACGACACACAAGATTGCAGTTCGGTTTGTGGAAAAGGAATCGCACGCTTTGTGCCTCATTGCTGAGCCATGGCTGCATTGAATGGGGGTAGCGAGAGCCCTGGCGGATCTTCGGACCGCCATAAACCCTAAACCCCCAAACGTGCAGCACATTATTCCCCGATTCCCTCCTGACCCACAGTAAGTGTGCGGGCTAGCAACTTTGTTGGGCTTGAGGTTTAGGGCTTCGGGCTTAAGGGTTTAAGGCGCCCTCAGCACCTCAGGGGTTTAGGAGCAAAGAAAAACGCACCGATCCTAAGCCCTGAAGCCTAAACTTACTAAACCTTATCCCTAAACCCTAAACCCCAAACCGAATCATCATATTATACACAAAGGTTCCTCTTACATATATATATATATATACAGTAAATAAATAGAATAAAATCAGAAAACAAAGCAAAACAAGATAAAGTATATAATGTGTGTGTATATACATATATATATACTCGGGCTCCCCTCAATGCAGTTCGCCCGAGGCCAAAACTTTTGGATGCGACGAAAAGGAGTACAGGAAGGGGTCCATGCACCGCCGGAAAAGCTGGGTGCCAGCACTGAGATTGTATTTCGGCGGCTTAACTTGCTGCAAGTTACAAGTTCCAGAACCCATGCGTTCTGCAAATGTTTGAGCTGTTTTAACTGTTAACTCCTCCGGCTCTACATGCTCCTCAGGTAACCACAGACTTTGGGTACGAGTTCTGCTTCGAGGCTCCCAATGGGAGTGTGAAGTGGTACAAGGCCTCTCCGCTTCATAGAAGGATGTCGACAGTGCATCGATTGTAGAAGCCCTGTCCGTGCCAGGTGCAGGGGCACCTCATCCAGGAGTGCACCCTTGGCAGCCAATTTGAGGTCACCGGCTCCATGCAGGAAGTCACTTCGATGCTCATTGACAAAGTCATGGGCGACAGGCATCACTGCACAAGAGCGCGCAAGAGCTGTAGAGGGTGCCTTTATCGAAGTGTTTGAGGGCGCTGGCTTTCTAAAGGCTAACAACAATGCTGTCGGATCCAGAGCAGGACTGAACGCCGGGCCAAAGGTTGAGGGAAAGCCCCAAAGCAAGAAATCCATGTGGAAACAGGCTGCGACACTGAGCCTGTGTTGTCTTTATGAGCGTGGTTCTCCAGGTTGCTGCAACAGGCCTGAGCAGGACCAAAAGCCAAGCATTACGAAAGTTACATCTGAATCCGACTGAATCAGAGCCCACTCAAGTGTCACTCAAAAGGGCACTGGATTCCTCTGAACGAAGGTGAGCAGGGGCCTTGTTGTGGACTTTGGACTGAGATGTGCCCGCTGACAGGAGCGAGATAGTTTAAGTTACGGTGCCTGGTAGCCCATCATTCTCTTTAAGCTGAAGTTCGGCTGCAGTGTAGACGAGCTGTAGAGATGATGCACAAGAATGGGAGCAGTCTGCAACCCTAATCAGGTGGCAAAAGTGGTGGAGCCGCATGTGCCACATGGTCTTCGACGCCACGTTGCTAGTGGATACACAAGAATATCGGGTGCTGAATGCCTGGGGCGAGGAAAAGGTCTTTGGATGCAAGCTGCAGTCGCACCACCCGCTGCTGCAGCTCATCAAGCCAGAAGACACCGTCTCCCTGAAGGAGGCATTCAACGAGGTGACCTTCAAGGGATTCGAACGTGGCCGAACCCTGCACTTGCTGCGACCCGGAAATCAGCGAGACACTCCGGCGCAGTGCTTCCTGCTGTCAGCGGACCAAGAGAATCCCAACGAGTGCATGATGGGCATTCGCATGCAGGTTACCGCCTCTGATGAGAATGTCTCTGTCCTGTGGGATGTGGCGAAGCCGAACCCAGTGCTGACCCTCGAAGACTTGGCACGGCTGAAATCCGGCCTCAAGCGATCGCACCGGCGTCCATCACGGAATCTACGCAACGTGCATCAACGATCGCTTCATCCCAGGCGCACCGCAGTTTACGCAGTGAATGTTAGTGCGTGTTTGCTGTTTCGGCCTAGTTCGTGAAGTTTTGTACTTATGATGAGTAAATCAGAGTGAATCTGCTGCGAACCTCAGTCAGGTCACGTACATCTGATCCCATCGCATCCTCGCACTCGCTCTCAAGCATTCCCGAGGAGCTGGAATGCCGATTTTGTCTGAAGCCAGAGTTCAGAATGCTGTCTTGCATCTGAGCCTGTGAGATGTGATGACCACCCTCATTGGACCTGAACGATAAGAAAACAAATAGAATCACATGAGCATGCAGTGGCAACAACATCGGCATGGTCCTTGTCTGGCGGTCTGTGGGGCAGGACTTGCATGGTGAGTTTGAAGATGACGATGATGCCCGGTCCGTCTCGGACATGTCCGACAGAGGCCTTGCGAAGTGAAACCCCATACGCGTATAGGTGCATCTTCCTATTCAATCTCCTTCGAAGAGTGCATACCGCATCTCGAATTTACTTGTACATGAATCTAAATACCTTTGGTCCTTTGGCTGCCTTACCTGGATGATTGAGCAGAGTGGGTCAGGCTCGGAGGCTGAAAATTCCATGGCCGACGACAGCGAAAGCCGATGCTCCAGTTCTGGCCCGAGACAACGCCGACGCTTCTGTGTTAGGTAAGTAGGAGTGACGTCAAACCATTGTAAGGCTCAGAGCATAGCTCCACGTCCAATGACGAGGGGATGTCTGAGGCTTCAGCGGAACTCGGGCCTTTTCTGCAAGTTTATGCAAGTTTGCTCAGAGACCCTGCCGGAAGGTTGGCGTTTGCAACAGCAGTCCGGCAAGATCTGCCAGCGAGGAGCACATGCAAAATATGAAGGCCATTCGAAACTTTTGGTTTGAGAGTCCTGCCAGGACTTCGTGCCCGGAGCCCCGCATGACTGGAGCTAGGGCCTAAGTAGTTTTGAATGGCTTGGAAAGGTCCTGTGCTCCTTAAGCTGTGGCACAGTGGCATATGGTCCCTTGGTCAAGAAGGGCGTCAGTGCTCAGGTGCGAATCCTTTTAACCTGTCACCAAAGAAGAGCCGTCTGCCCGACGTGAGCCTCTCAGATAGGTGTCAGAGGTTGACATCCAGGACACTCCGGCATGTGGACTCATGCGGACTTAAGGCCATCTCGCCAGCACGGGGATCGAAGTATGGGGGGGTACCCGCAAGGCGGGGTGTGTTGTCCTAAGGCGTAAATGGCCCGCTAACTGACGTACTCTCAGCTCTGTCAGGCAGCTTGCACCTGGAGTCGTTTGCTCAGCCGTGGGCAGTGCCATGATGTGCCATGTGCAAAGAAACGGCCTGACATGCTGCGATATGCTGTGAACTCCGACGTCCCTGTAGGCTCCCCTGCCTGTGCAGAGGAAGGCAGGGTTGGTGGAACGGTAGCCGCAGACATCCGCAGGCTTGTTTGGTGCCGCCATTGACGAGGCACGTGTCGGACCTCCCACCGTGAAGCTGCGATGGCTGTGACCTCAGTGTCCCCTGCATGACTGAGAGGCATCAATCATGACGTGGTGTCTTTACAACTTCTTGTGTGCATTTAGTATGATTTGGTTGGGTAGGGTCTAGTTGCATGCTGAAGCCTTCTCGACGCATCGAAAGCCATGGCTCGCCTCAGACTCCTGTCGGATTTGTCGGTCGAGTATAAAAACGAATGTCTTCGGGACCTTTATTTGAATGTTTCTTGCTGACGCACTTGTCCGACCGTTTATGTTCGATGCGGTGGTTGAGTCAGGTCGGGCCAGTCATTCTCTGTTAACTTGGATGACTTCTCCTCCATCAGTGAGCTTCGAGCTCACATTCATCGGGTGACAGGCGCTGTCGTCAATGCCTGTGCACCCTCAGTCCCGACTAATCCCGACTACTTCTGTTGTGTCAAAGTGTGCAGGTGTACCCGCGATTCGACAGACGTTGATCCTGGGTGGCCGAAGGCCTGTGAAGGTAACTCAAGGTCAAATCGCATGTCGTTGGTGCCAGGAAGACGCCAACTGTCATATCCAGCTCCACATCATAAGGCCGAAGACTTGCCGAGAACTTGCCAGGCTCCCTATCAATGAGGACTCCTCGCCGACAATGAACGAGCCAACTTGGCAGGAAATCAAGGCGCCTTTCAAGTGTCTTCATGTTTCCGCCGATGCCCGCAGGCTTCTCTTGCAATGTCACCACATGATACAAGCAAGAAAGAAACTTCAAAGAGCCGGGACTTGACTCTAACGCTTTGTGAGTTGACCCTTCCCAGCCCTGATCAGTCTCAGGATCTTGTGCGTCCTGGCCAATGTTTGATGATGGCTGGTAGTGCCGCTTAACTGGCTTAACTTGTGTGCCATTGAGGGATCCCGGAGAACCCTGACATTGACATCCGTCGCTCTTGGACTCCTTTGGGCAATTGAGGTCCCAGACCCTCTTGCCACAAAAGACTCAAGCCAAGAGCCCAGACTCAGCGACACAAGATTCTAAGGTGTGATGTGGCGCTGTGTTGCATGTTGGTGAATCTTCAAGGTGCTGCCGAACCTGCACAGCCCGCAGCACAGCCTGCGCAGCAGCCTGCGCAGCAGCCTGCGCAGCCTGCTCTTGAAGCTGCCGAAGTGACTGAAGTGGGCTACTTGGAGAATCGTGCGAGTCTCTCGCGGGATTTAAAGGATCTGTTGATTCGTGGCCCGATTTTTGTTCAGGAGCCGCTGCCCGCGTCTCCAACTGCAGCAGAACCTTCAGTCTGAGTTGTCCCACGCAATCGTGGCACATCACCTTCGGACAATACACATTTCTCACCGCGCAGTGCCACATGGTAGCTAGATCTGTAGAAGCATTGGCCATCGACATGCTAAAAAGGTACCTCAGCAGGTTGTCAGACACTGTGCCCACAAGGGTGTAATGAAGCTGCTTGTGTTCATCCAGTTGCGCTTCTGGTATTTTTTCTGTGCTTGATGTCCTTGCTTCTGTATAGTGATGGATGAATATGGCTATTGAGACTGTTTAAAGTATCATTCAGTACAGTGACAGGTCGATCAAGAAGGGGCGGCCGTAGGGTGTCATGGGCCATGGGCTTTGTCTTATCGTTGACATTGTCGGCTCATAGCTTGAACATACTTTTAAGAGTTTTAGGGTTCGATGGCTGCGCAACCGAGTTTGGCGTCTGACCAGCGCTGTTCAGCTAACATGTTACCAATGCCAATGTTGCGGCCCTGAAGTGTGATGACTTATCTTGCAGGTAGCTTGTGAACTAAAGCCCCATGAAGCCTAATCAAGCTCATCTAGCCTGCTGTCGAGACTTGCGCTTGCAATGGACGGCGGCCTCCATGGAAGCCACGCCAGCTGATGGCCAGCCGTCGCATGGATCATCGTTGCGCGATTGCTACAGTATGAAAGGAAGAAGTTTGGACAACCGGTATCTTAAAGCTGCACGGAATATGTGCGGAATATGTGCACTCGACCTGCACACTGTCAGACTAGTCGTTTGAACAATTTCCCTTCAAGTGAGCTTTGCCATACGGTCCTGGTTGGTCCTGGTATTATTCACCGACCAATACAGAATAACCTGAAGTTGACGACAGGTGAAGTGCGATGAGCACCATCACAGGCACGCTGACGCGTCCTTTCACGAAGTGCTTTGCCTGCCTTTGGGCTTTGCTGCTGCGTGGAGTAAAGGTGTGGAAGGTTTCGCACGTGTTTTGCACCAAGGAATCCACCGCCACTGGTGCCACCCAGCCCCGAAAGGCGACAGGCGTGGGCCACAACTGTTACGCCTCTTCACAACTATACTATACCTACCTGAAGTCCAGCGGAGCTGCGGTGGATCGAGCTCAGTTCGAATTCATAAAGCGTTACCGCTGAGCCGCTAGGAGAAGACGCCAGACCCTTCCGTTCGTGGCTCTCGCCTTCTCCTCGTGGCCTCGTGCTTGGTGGCAAACATAGTTGGAGGTCAAACCGGTGTAGACTCGCGCGACCAATCACAGATGCCTAGACTTTGTATATGTTTGTATGAGGGTGCCATCTTCACTGATCCTTGCTTGCGCCACTGTTGCTGGAGCTCGGAGACTCTGCCTTTTCTATGGGTTCCCGAGCCGGATCTTCCCCGAATGCCATGCTTGGCATTTTCTTACTGGTGATTCCACTATATACAACCCTGCTTCCCCCCAGCACTCTAGGCCTAGGCCCCGGAGACACCCCGTCCATGAGGGGGAGCTGTGTCTACTTGATGCCATGCGCTGTCCTGAGGCCGGTGCAGAACCGGGAGACCGCGACGCATGGTGGCACAAACAGGCTCCCCGCAGAGCAGCTCTTGTCACGCGGCTTGCATTTGCCCCATGAGGCTGAGATCCGTGAGTTGCAGGCATAGCGCTCAGGGAAATTTCGATTATATGTCGTCGGCATGCGGCATGCAGCCTTTCCTGAATGCATCCCGACTTGATGTGCGCAAGGCCCAAAGATACGTCCCCAGCCCCCGGGCACTGAAGGCGGCCAACAAGTCACTGCTTCGACGGGTGTACGACCCGAGCCCAAATGTGGTGCCCTTGGGTTTGCTGACACCTGTTATTCCGCATGCAGATGAAAGTGATGAAAGCACCTTTTTCCAATGAGACACGCAAGTAGGGCCTTAAGCAAACGTGCCTCGCCTGCGCCATGCAGTGCTGTGTTGCAGACGTGCTGCCCTTGCTTGTAAGGCAGTTCCCCGACTGCCCAAGAAAGCAGAGGAGGCTTCAGCCCAGCCGCAGGAAACCAGGGATGAACTTCGTGGATTCGGGGAGATTTCCATGGCGCGACGTTTGGGTAGTTGAGACATACCAGGCCTCCAAAGACGCTGCAGAGCAAGCTCCAGCTGCGATCGAGGCAAGAATCCAGCACGAGTTTGGTCTCACCTGCGAGCCGTTGCACAGTTGCAGCATGCCTGGTCACACTGGAAGTGAAGATTAATTGAAAATACCTTTCTTGGAAGGCTGAAGGCCAGCAGCCAATGGCATCAATTGAGCCCGCTGCACCAATTGCACCGGATGAGGCAAGACAAAGTCACAAACACATGGCAAGGACCTAGGGAAGGCTCTGGGCCCTGTAAAAGTCCATCACTAGCTCTGCATTGAGTTCGGCGCTTACCGTGAAATAGCCTTGCCGTAGCAGCAAGCAGTAAGCTAGCTGCCCTGACGACAGGTCGCGGACTCCCCATCAACACGTAATGGGGCAGAGTCTGTGGCCTCCACTCAGGCATTGCTTGACGCTCCACCAATGCCAATTTGCAGGGTACAGCAGATGCTTCTCAACTGCCAGATTGTCCGGACGCGAACAGAAAGCGAGGCCACGTTTGCTGCCGGAGTCTCAGCTCAGCTCATGCCTTCGCTCTAGCACCCCTTGGTGATGCAGCCCGCCATGGTAAGAGTCCCCGCTGAAGAGGCCAGCACGATAGCGAAGCTGGAGGGCCAGCTGCATGCGCAGGACTTCTTGCATACACTTGCAATTGGGCATGAAGCTTAAAAGACAGGCCACTGCAGGCCTGTCTGTACTTGACTATACTTTGCAACGGGCACCCGCAGAGCTTCAGTCACTGCAGGGGATGGCTGAGAGGTTCTAGATGGGGACCTTTGCTCACTGGAGGAGGAAGCCCTCATGGCCGAGCGCGCCCGATACAGGGAGGAGCCTGCGGAAGCAATATTATGGCACACCCATGCCTTCTTAAAGTTTCCCACGTTAGACAGTGTTGCAACTTGTTACACGATTTTGGCCGCTCAAAAAATCGCAGCCAGCAGCTAGTGGCAGCTAGTGGCAGCTAGTGCATGAGGGCAGAGTGTGGAGTCATGGGCAAGCAACTGCATAACCAACTGAAAAACGACTGAAAGCTCAACCTGAACCCACCAATAAAATGGCCGGAGTCCGCTCAGGTTCGGCCACAAATCACGAAAGCTCGCGTAGCGAAGCTGGAGTTTTATCTGCTTTAGCAGCAGGGGGCCGACCACGGCCAGAAAACAGCGTATTATCGATACTATCTTATTAGGGGGGGGGGGGGGGGGGGGGGGGGGGGGGGGAAAATGGATATATCACAACGAATTCCTTGGGGGGGGGGGGGGGGTAAATTGATACATCACACGAATTCCCTGGTTTTGGAGGGGGGGGGGGGTGGGGGTAAATTGATATATCAATACCTTAAGGGGAGGCGTTTTTACGTCAAGACCTGACTCCGTCGCGTGTTGACCGCAGCGCGTGAGTCATCGTGAGTCAGGCTCCCAGCACAACATGCGTCGCCGCCCACTAGTGATGTGTTGATTGCAACAAGCTAGTTGATTGCAAGAAGCTAGTATCTACCCAACACTGCGACGGCTGAAAAGAAGACGCTGGCCCCTCAAGCATGCCTCCAACTGGGCCCTGCCCGCACTTTCTCTTGCAACTTTGCTCTTGCTTCCGGCCCCCGAGCTTTCGTCCTCCCTGCCTCCGGCCCTCAAGTTTCGGGGGGGACTTTTGGAGTTTGTTTGGCATTGTTCACAATGAGCGGTCGGAACTGCACGCAGAGTATTACAGCTTTCGTCATGTTAGTCTGTATGGGGACTATTTGATTGCCTTTCAGATGCCTCGAAACCTGCAGCGTGCCAAGGGGCCAAGGGCGCTGGAAGGAAGCAAGGAAGGAAGGGAGGGAGTGAGTGAGGGAGGGTGGGAGCGAGGGTGCCACACAAAGGGGATACAACTCAAGAATGCTGACTATGTTTCCCATAAATGTTCTATCCTTCACGACAGCAAGGTCAGTTGCCAAGGTGTGGTAACGCACTGTACAGTCGGCATACTCGGTATACGTCGGAATGCTCGGTATATCTCGGCGTTCGGTACGCTCGGTACACTCCGTATGCTCCGCGCGCGCTTCGTAAGCTCCGGCTGAATTGTGCAACGCCAGCAACCGACGCTTTCTGGGACTTGGGACTAGAAGCTTGGTCAGAAGGCAAGGTGATGCAAGGTGCTTTGTCATCTCCAGGACATGCAGTGGCATCAGGCGGAAGCTGCTGAGGACGGAACTTCAACTTGGGGGATGGAACATTTCTTCTTGACAAGCTTCTGTGGAGTCATGAGAACGTTTCATAGTTTCACAAGTCACAGCGAGCTGCCTAGACTGCTAGGCATGCCAGTTGTGACCTCCGACCAGGAACGAAAGCGCCTGAGGCGAGATGCCGCCAAAAAAGTGGCAGAGCTCCAGGCAGCTGAAGGATCCAGTACTGCCTCACATTGCCTCACATGTTGCCCACACTATCTTGCCACATTATGTTGCCTCACATGTTGCCTCGCATGCTGCTGCTTCATGCTGCTGCTTCATACCGCTTCTTGCCTTGTCCTGTCCTGACCTGACCTTTTCCTGTCCTGAACCTTGCCATCCTTGCCAGTCGCGGTCGACCGAGCTCGTCGAGGAGGCCAAGCAAGTAGATGTGAAGACAGGATGAGACAGGCTTACCATGCGTTCTGCTGCAGGTGCAGGAGGCCACGGCAAAAGCCAAGGAAGCAGAGAGAACCATGCACAGCAGGCAAAGCCACTAGATCATGTCAGCTTGATTCGTGTCTACTGCACTTGGATCACTTCAACACGTCTGGCAGACAGGATAAGTTCCATGCGATCAGCCTCCCAGCGGCTGCGGAATCAGCTTCAGGCCAGGACAAAATGCGGCGGCGACCTTCCTTCTTGTACTTGTGCCAGCCTGTAGCAATTGGGTTTGTTCGTTTCCTTGCTCCCTGCCTACGAACCGGCCCCTCTCTGGCACACATTCCTTGCCCTTGCCATCCCTGATGCGACGACGCTCCCAACACATCAACCACAGTCTCACTTTGACAATCCCCACTTCAAAGAATCAGCACATCCCAGGCCTCGAGGGATACCTCATAAGTGTGCCAGGAATGCCTTGCTGAGCCGCTCTCAACCGTCTCAACCCGCACCCTGTAACTTTGAAGGCCGCAAATAAGTCCAGAGCCCATAAGAGTCCCGCTTTTTCTAAAGGCATCCTCGGAGAGCTGGGGTGTTGGATCCGCCGTTCGCGCTGCGACACGTCGACGCGCTTGTCGCCGCGCCGTCCCGAGCTGTTGCCGCAAAAGAGAAGCGTAGCACCTATTGACATCCGTAAATCGGCGTCGGTGCTCCGGCACAGGCTTGAGATGATGAGCTCTTTGAATCATTAGTTTCAGTCCTCACGACCTGGCTCGGCATGGGCCGCAAGCCTTGGCAGGCGGAGGCAGTGTCTGGCTCTACGCGCTACTGCTGGTTGCAATGCGAAAGAAGTTATGAGTAAGGATTGAGGTGATGAAGGAAGTTCGAGAGGCCAGAGGATTCGCCCGGCAAGGTTGCAAAGCTACACGTCGCGTGGGGAGGTCGTCGAAGAAGAAAGGAAGAGCTTGTTACACCCATGTTGTGCGATGAAGCAAAACAACACATGGGGTCATAGGGGTTGGGCCCCACATGATTTTGTGGTGCCCGTCCCCGTCGGCCCTCCCTCTGCTCCTCACGCGCCGTCTGCTCCCGGCTGCCGGTCGGTTAGGTGCGGTACCATTCCAGGCCAACAAAAATCAGGGGTGGGCGGAAGGGGTCGTGGTTTACGAAGAAGGCCTCTCTCTCTCTATTTTCTGTCGCTCTTTCTACGGCAACATGCTGGCTGCTCTCAGCTGACCAACAGCAGGCCGAAAGGGGCACTACCAGCACTGAGACGTTGGAGGAGTGGTCCCTTGAACATGCACTTGCAGAGACCACGTCTGTTATGCGCAACCTGCGAAGGAGAGAGACACGCAGCATCGCGACCAGCTTCAGCGTTTGGAAGAGTGCGCCTGGAGAGTGTAACGCTGGCTTTTCTCCCCCTGCAGTGCAGGTCCACTGTGGAAGCATGTCTAATGTGATGCAAGAGCATGCAAAACCGAGTCAGGCTACGCTTTGAAGTGGAGTGTCGGGAGGCCGCTTCTGGGAAAAAAGGAGTGTGTGCAGTGTACTGAGAGTGCAAGGAGTGCAAGGAGTGCAAGGAGCAGCATGAACATTGAAAAGGCTTGGAAGCCAGAAAGTACAAAACCTATCTGCCCTGTTCAGTAGGCTTCTTTCTGTTTGGGGCCCCTGTCTTTGGTTTTTATTTCGTATAGTGAATGCCGCAAATGATTTGGCAAGCGCGGCTTGCAGGCGGCCTCCTCCGAGCTGGAGCTGGCACTCGCTTTCGAGCGCTCGGCGGCCAAAGAGGAGCGAGAGGCGCGAGCAGGAAAAGCAACTCAAAGAAGCACAACTCAAGAACCTAAGAAACCTGAAAAACCTCAAAAACCAAAGCAGACCATCTTTCAACAAAAGCACGCCAAGTTGCTGTGACATGCCGCTCATGCATTCCTAAGTGCGCATGTCGCGCATCATTACTCCCTCGCATTGCCCACTGCGACCCTTTGACAGTGCTTTTTTTTTCAGCAGACTTTCGCAAAGGGCGCAAGGCGCAAGGTTGTCAAGGTTGCACAAGTACAGCCAGGCGCTGCTGAAGGAGCTAGCCGACCTAAGCACCGAAGCCTCGCAGGCAACAGTCCGAGTGTCTGTTGATCTCTCTCTTGATCTGCCAGGCTTTGTTTGTATGTTAGGACTTGCTAGCTTACGTCTGCAGGATAGCTTCATTTTCAAAATGTTTTGATTCTTGCCGGGTCTTACCGTGCAGCGCCCGAAAGGCCCGCAGCCGCAATGCTGAGATTGTCAAGAAGGATGAGGATCTCTTGCTTCAGGATAATTTCAGGATGTCCTGAGCACCCAATGGAGCGCACATTCAGGAGCTGGAGACTCAGCTAGCAAACCTCTCCGGTCAGCTCAAGGTGCCAATATCCGTGAAGGGGACTACGTCGATAGCGTTCCTATTCCGATTCCGTAGACATCTCACTTGCCAGGCTCAGGCTGCCCAGCACTCTGAAACCGTGGGCTTGGGTATGGAGTAAGCTCCGCTGTACTGGTCCTGAAAGTAGCATGTTTGCGAAGAGCTACATGGGTTTTCCGTTCAAGCCCGGTTCAAGCCTTTGCAAGTCCATGCGCTGGGTGTTCTTTGCTCCTTGCATTGCCTTGCATCTCGCACAGACGTCCGAAGCTGCAGCAGCTGTGGCCATGGAGCCGGGAGCCAAGGGTAAAGGTAGCTACTGCGAGGCGTCAACGCTTCGGATCCTCTTGTGCGACAACGTGACGTTGATGCAGTGATGCGTCTGAGGCAGATGAAGGAAGAGGGTCGGGCAGCGTGTTCTGTTCTTAGACGTTTTGTGCACGTCCCCAAGCGTAGCCGGTCTCAGAGCTTTGGCCGACTTTGGCCGAAGATCCAGCAGGATCCGCCATGATCCACCATGATCCACCATCTGCTCATGACATGTTCGCTGACGTTGATCATTGTTCAAGGCCTGCTGCAGAGTCAGTGCCAAGAGGCTGACATAGTCCTTTCGCTGTGAAGTGGCATGCATCCCGCGAGAACCTGGACGATTTTGTCTGACTCTTCTTCAGGTGGTATGTAGTATGTAGCCCCCAATAGCACTGCACGACCAGGCCGAGTCCAAAGCCCAGACTGCCTCGGAGCAGTACCAGGCCAGCTCATTTGCAATTCAACATCAACCATTCTCGAAATCAAATTCCAGATGTTAATATGTAGAGTCAGCTATGATCAGTCACTGGCAATCAGAGGCACTCATCCAGGCGCTGAAGAAGGAGCAGGAGGCGTGTTCAGACCATTCAGACTTCGGGAGCTTAGTGCTTATGAGCATATTGCATGCGACCTGCAATGTGTTTTCCAAGAGCAGGCTGCTGACTGTCAGCTTCAGAACCTTCTGCAGGAGGCGCCCCAGCCTGATTTTCAATTCATGGTTGAAAGATGGATGGCGATGGGTGTTATGGGTGCAGCCACACCTTAGTGCCGAGTTGCGGGCCTGACCTATGCAGCATTGATGACAGAGCACTGTTCAAGATGACGTCACAGGCAGCTCGGAAGCAGAACGAGCTGCACGAACTGGGCGGTGAAGGTGCGAGAACTTGCTGACTTTCTTCGCATCTTTGCATCTCCTATCTGTGTCCTCGCAGTTGGGTCATCATAAGACATAAGACTGCAAGACGTTGCCAGGTGCCATCCTCAATATGCCTGAGGCGTGCGAGCCAATGTTGATGGGACTTGCTTGCGGCATCTCGCGGGCACGCTGTGGCCTAGACGATCCCTGGTGCGTTGTGTTAAGCTCAGTGCATAGCTTTATACAGGTGCCCAAGCTTCCGACGATGGAAGGTGCCGTGCTTTTTGGCAGATCTCTTGAAGATGTTTGAAGGGCACTAAGGGGCACCCACTGGGCACGCTGCAGGCTTGGCCTCTGCGCTTCTGTCCTGGGCTGACGGAAATGGAGCCCACGGAGTCAATGGAGCCCTGGCTCGAAACGAGTTCCCTTTAAAACCCTATACGCCTCATGCCTCGGCGTCTGCTACCCGGTTCTTGCAAGATTGCAAGGTTTCTGCCTTGTGAACACAGACCAATCAAAACAAGCTTCTATTTGCTCAGGATCGAAGAGGAGGAGCCACCTGACGGCAGCGCACCTAGCCTGTAGTGACCCTCTTGGTCTTGCTGTCCACATAGCAATACGTAGCAATGCCAATGTGGAAATGCAGCTTTGGGCCTTCGGGAAAGCCCTTGACTAAGGGTCCATGTGTGTCCGTAGCATTTTGTGCTGGCCCGTTGATCCGTTGACAAACTTGCGGTGTGGGATGGGCGGTTCATCATCGAAACCTGTGGAAGCTCCGGACACCAGTCCCCCAGCGGCAGCAGCGTGGAACCCAGATGCGCTTTGCGATGGCATGCTGGCAGCTTGGAGGAATTTCGAGCTTCAGTCGGTTGTTGAATTAGCTTCTCGACTTAGAATGCCCTTGCAGGTGAGGGGGCGAGGACTGGGATGACCTTGGTTTCATCCATTGATGGCATTGTCACGCAAAACTTCGGAATTTCCAAGGCCTCAGCACGCGCGCAGTGGCTCGTGGAGAACCAGGGGCTGGACAAGGAGGCCTTCACTTTGACTTTCCGCTAAGAGTCCCTCCAATCCAAGTCCCCAGCGACGTGTGGGGACCTGCAATTGAGGCTGCACAACAGCGCATCATGAAGGAACCTTGGTCATCAAAGCTTTTTCCAGTTGTGGTCCGTGGCCTCTCGTTGTTGACTGTTATTTCACTGCTGATGATGATCTCAGGAGTTTCCCAGTGTATTTGGTGCTCCCCGCGGATGGAACCCCGACGAGGATTGCGCTGGTACACGTGCCGAGGCTGGTCATACCGTCATTCCGTTGAGCAGTTGCTACGGACACCGATGTTGCATTCTGGGAATCCTGTACAGCAATGCCCATACTTGAAATGCCAAGCATGCTAATCAAAGCCCTGCCCTCACCACCACATTCCGAAGGATCGAGCCTTGTGGCTTATGCAGAACCAGGGAATGAATCGAGAGGATGCGCAAAGAAAGGTCATGGACGAGTTCCCACAGCTTTTCCTCAGGGCGTCTGGGGTGGCAGGGGAAGACGTCCCTGTTCTGCAGTCGTCCTCGCAGCCCTCGCAGCCCTCGCAGCCTTCGAAGCCTTCGAAGCCTTCTGGATCCGGGTATCTCCCTAGCCGAGAGGTGCAAGGCAGTCCGGAGGCCAATCCACCGAGGTGGCCGAGCTCTGTTTTGGTGCTCAGCAAGGGATCTGGCTATGACGTGGTAGACCAAATCTACGAAGAAATGTCCTCGCTGGACAGAGGTCAATTCTCCACCAGCAGGTATGCGCTTCTTTTTGAGGCATCGCCAAAAATGCATGACGTGGATGTCCGAGTTGGATTTTACACGTCAGTTTATGGCTTGGGGAGGCACCCATCTGACACCAACATCCGGTCTGTAACATCTACAAACGAGACGCCTCATCCCGAGCTTGGGTCATTGCAGAACTTCTGGCGGCGACTTGATGACACCTTCGAAAGTTTTTGGTCTTTAGAGCATGCACAAAATGGCGTTGCCATTGCCCTGACATTTCAGGAGCGCAGAGAACTTCCAGACGAACTGCCATCCGACCTACACTTGCGGCGGCAAAGGAGGCATGCTGTGGGCGGTCTCGCAGGCTGCACCTTTACGACGTGTGGTGGTGGATGACAATCTTTGGCTTTCGCACCTAAGCTTTTGGAAGCCTGAGCAACCTCCCTGCTGTAAGTCGGGCAAGTGGTAGCACCTCTTTCCTTGCGCCCGAGGTACTTTCGCATGCCCCCGGATGGTGTGAAAGCAAGCGAGTCTTGGCAACTGACTATTCCGTGCTGCCATGGTTTCCTGTGCCCGTACTCTGCAAGGTGCACAGGGGGCATAGGAGTCGCAAGCACCCTTTTGTCGGAGTTTCGAACCGCTGCCGGTGCTACTCTCGGACCTAGCCGACCTAGCCCTGAGCGTCAGTCACCAGTTTGGTGGAATAAAGCTCATTCTCTTTCAACGTGATCAGTGGTTCTGAATGTGAGTGGTTCTGAATGTGAGTGGTTCTGAATGTGAGTGGTTCTGAATGTGAGGATCCTCGCTATCCGAAGCAAGGAGCGTGCCTGGAGTATGACGCTGGGCCTGGGTTTGTTTTTGTGGGTTTTGTTAGTCTACAAAGCAGCGGACTCAGAGCCAAGGATGGTTGGGTGAAGCTTGGGTACCGGGATCCCGTCATGGACTTTGCTAGTGACATCCCCAGTGACAAGAGTTTATGAAGTTCATGAGCTGTCAGAAAGTGTTACTTGGCTGTGCGGGTGTTTTTTCTAGATCCTGGATGCATCGCGTCACTTCCCACTGTGCACTCTTGAGGCTTACAACACAGCCAGCACAGCAAAAACACGCCAACAGCCCATCACAAGCCCAAAGCATCGACACAGAAGCCGTGACTTGATTGCACGAATCATGCACGAATCCTGCACCTGGTGAAACGTTTGTCTTTTCCTGACACAGACTGCGGGGCTAAAGACGTGTCTTTGAGCCCCGCAGAGAAGAGCTTTTCTTGAGTGTGACCTGCTTGCACAGCGTCTGAAATCAGCTCCAGCACAGGGTAAAGGGGAAACGGGGACACAGACTTGTTTCCAACAGAGCTCAGTTGATGATGCAAAGATCAATCCCTGCCTGCGCAGGGCTGCTTGGGTGTTGAAATTGCTAGGTCACAACTGCAACAATTCAAAGAACAACAGGGACCCGCTTCTCTTATCGAGGTGTCTGCCAAGTGAGCATTCCTGCTTGCCTAGAGCCAGTTGCTGGAAAGGCGGTGGCTTCATGGCCAATGTCGAGGTGAGGGGCACTGCAAGCTTCGGTGCCCAACAGCAATTCTTTGCTCGCAACTGCACTGCAAAGAGCTGGGAGCCAGGCACGTCAGTTGCACAGACTTGCATAATTGATGCAACGCCTTGCTGAGAGAGCCAATGTGCTGCTGGCAGGGGCTTGGAACTTTGTTTTCGTTGGATGCCCTGATGCTCCCAATAGTGGACATTTGGAGGCTTGATCCAGGTTGCTTTCCAGGAGACCGCCTTGCTCACCCAAGCCAAAGCACCATGCCCAGGCTGCGGACAAGGGCCCTATCTCCACCAACGTCAGTGCCTCGCAGGTGCCGGAGTTTGCGGGTTGGTGGCGGCTAAGATTTGCCCTAAGAGACTATGTCCAATATCGGTTTCGCAGACTTGCTGAACTGTTGGCGCCCTGCAAGACACAGAATGGATTGAAGTTAAAGGCCCGGGCTTGGAAACTCTACGACGCCTGGAACCTCCCCCCCGCCCTTCCGGATCCCTTAGTCAGTGGACCAGGGGCTGTCAATCAACAACACACTCGCGACAAAACAACCAGAAAAACTAACTGAATGCATCACCTGTCTCCCACCCTCACACTCATGGTCATGTTCGTCGGCTGTTTGCTCATGCGTCCGTCCACCCATCCATCCAAGGATAAGCTGCTAAACACAGCCACCGCAAGTTTCTGGTTGTTACCAATCTATTCTCCAAGAACCTGTGTTTCTTGTCTTCTCCTGTCGCTACAGGCAGCAAATCATGGTAGCCCCTGGGTGAGCTGCTACTATGAAGTAAGAAAGTAATAACATGCATTTATGATGAATGGAGGAAGACCTATAAGAGGGTTTCCATGTATTTCATGTGTGTAAGCGCGCACAGACAGACAGACAGACAGACAGACAGACAGACAGACAGACAGACAGACAGACAGATGGACAGACAGACAGACAGACAGACAGACACAGACAGACACACACACACACACACACAGAGACACACAGACACACACACACACACACACAGACACACACACACACACACACACACACACACACACAGACACACACACACACACACGGACAGACAGACAGACAGACAGACAGACACACAGACACAGACACACAGACACACAGACACACAGACAACAGACACACAGACAGACAGACGACAGACAGAGAGACAGACAGACACACAGACACACACACACACACACACACACAGACACACACAGACACACACAGACACACACAGACACACACAGAGACGCACACAGACACACACAAACACACACAGACACACACAGACACACACAGACACACACAGACACATACAGACACACACAGACACACACAGACACACAGAGACACACAGAGACACACAGAGACACACACAGACACATACAGACACACACAGACACACACAGACACACAGAGACACACAGAGACACACAGAGACACACAGAGGCACACAGAGACACACACAGACACACAGAGACACACAGAGACACACAGAGACACACAGAGACACACAGAGACACACAGAGACACACAGAGACACACAGAGACACGCAGAGACACGTAGAGACACACAGAGACACACAGAGACACACAGAGACACACAGAGACACACACACACACACACGCATCGACATGCATGCGAGTGCACATGTATATGTGCTACATGTATGTTTATGAATAAATGTATGTATGCATGCATGCGCTTATCTGTACGCGTCCTGTAGTTATGTCTTTAACTTATGCTAAGAGTAAGTTGATGCTGGTATGCAGGTGATTGCAGAAAAGCCCTTCATCGTCAAAGAGAGCCTTGTTCTGAGAAGCCCCGAGTGAAGTGAAGCTAGGAATTGACTCCGACGACTGAAATGACCAAGTGAGCTTGGCTTTGTTCACATGTAGCGAGATGCCTGCGAGCGGGTTGCCATCCGCGGTGCTTGTAGTAGAAGCATCGTCGCAAGCCCGGCACTCCTAAGAACGACAGCACACGTTTAAAGAGCATACAGCCTGTGCGCAGCTTCGTATTCCAGCTGTGTTACAAGTACACTCCCAGGAGTGATGGTCGCTACAAATTGGTGGTCCCCTCAGCCTCGACGGGCCGCATCGGAACGGACTTTGAGCTTGCGGAGGCCCATGATTTGCTTTGGCATATTTTCACGCGAAGACTGCGGTGCTGCCACTGGCACAGGAAGAGATCAGGGACTTCAGCACGGTCTTTGTAGCCCAACCGTCGAATCTCGTTGCAGCATGCTGCGTTACTGTGAACGCTCATTTGGTGTTGGCACACAGCGACAAGAAAGCCATCATGCCTTTGCCATGCAAAACCGTAGGCCATTGTAAGCATCAGGAACTACTTCCGAATATCGAGAAACTAACTAGTATCGCTGATGCCTGCTGCGACGCAAAGAAAGTGCAAGTGAGGAGTGGGGCCGCCGAAATCAACAGGAAGCTCGCTGAAGGGAAAGATGTTGCTGCTTTGTTGCATCATCGCGACAGGCATGCTCACGGCTCACGTGCTCCGACTGTGTGGCATCTCACCATGCCTGGAAGGTCTTCGCTCCGGGAATCTACAATCTCGAGGAGACACTACGTGTCCAGAAAAGTGGTCAGGCCTGATCGGGTTGTTCACCCCAGAAGTGGAAGGGACAGGAAGCACGGCCGACGTGGCTGAGAGAGAAGTCGCCGAGCTGCGACACTTCTTGGCAGGTTTTGCTGGCCTTGGGCTTTGCAACGCTCGTGGCTCCGACGGACTCACCTTGCATCCTAGTCGCATGGCGTGCAATTCTGCTTCCATGTCCTTGGGGGTCCACCGTACGTGAATGCTACGTGCTCTCTGACATCTCTTCATAGATCAGGAAGCAGGAAACAATCACCATTACACTTCTGTGGTAGGCTTCTGCGTAGTTGTCGGCAAAGGACTCTTGCATTTATAGTCTTTGGTAGTATGGTTTCTGGCAAGTATTGAAAAAAGAGTACATGCATTGCAATGAATGTATTATTGCGAAATGCGAATTGAGTTTCACTGATATGGTGTTGGTACATGATTCTTTGAAGAACTGTATATTGCGGGAGTATGCATCGAGGGCCCTTTGATGTGAATTCGGGAAAGCCCTCTTCTCTGATTTTTCTTGCTTGACTTAGGCCCCTGTCCCCCGTATACTGTATACTTCGTGCCTGTCACCCAAATGCATCAGGTTGATGATGAAGCCGTTGGTGTACGGATCTCGGGAATGATGATGGAGGCCTGAAGAATTTGTGAAGGGATGGCCCTTAGTGCTTCGTGCTTCGTCATTCGTACTGTACCGATGGCATAGCAGAATCTAGCTGCGCATCGTGCGAGGCGGCTTACCGTCCACTGAAGGGAGCATCGCCTACCGAGCTCACATCACCAGGGCCCAAGGCCAGCGAGTCTTTCAGCCCCTCCACGCTCTGCCATTGTTTGTTGTGGAGGCGCTGCTTCAGTGGGGTTGCGGCAAGGCAGCACGCAGCCACTTGGCATTGTGCGTACAAGTATGTTGCCTAGATCCTGGGCTTCTGAATCGACTGTGCAGGTGATCCAGCGGTGCCTGGTACTTGGGGCTTTCTTCATGACTGTTTCGCTCGTGTCGGTGGCCAAGAGGCCTGGGGTCATTCAAGCAGATCTACTGAAGCCTAATATTGCTAATGTGCGTGCCGGGTTTGATGTTGTCAGGCCCCCTTCACTGCGCGAGATGAAGTCGATCCGTCCAGGCACGCAAAATACTTGTAACGTACATCGCTGCGTAGGCAGAAGACCTAGGACAAGTTCAATGTCCCCATTTTAACAAAGCCGAAAGTGCAGATTTTACGCAAGCCATGACCTGAGGACACCGAAGACTCGACCACACAGCGAAAAGCCTCTCTTCGACTCCGAAGCTCGCTGCAGCAGCCCGGACGCACGTGATTCACGGGGTTGATCATTTCGAGCCCTTCTCTTGTGTCCTGATGTAGTTCAGGGTCCCAACCGTATCCAATACTTTCGATCAACCGCAACATGTTCAGCTGATCGGTGCGCAGCAGATTCCTCACGCCCGCACCTTCGAAGAGTTCCAAAGAGTTCCCTTGCACATGTTCCTGAGCTTCTTATGTTGCTGCAAAGAAGCCGTGAAGCAGGCGCCATGGTGCAGATTCAAGCTCCATGCGTGGTGGGCGCTTCTTGGCCGAACCTTGTTCTCCCCTTTGACCCTGTTGAGCTGGCAAAGTCTTCGGAAAGTCTTTCGCGCTTTTTTTTTCTCAGGACAACTTGTGGCTCTGGCGTGCAGATCACTGGCTAAGCGATCAGTATTTGGTCTACAACCATGCTCCTTGGATAATTTTGGAGACACCTACGAGGTTCTAGGTATTGGACTTTCAAAGGTTCCTGAAGCTGAGGTTCCTGAGGTTCCTGAAGCCATTGAGGCTCCTAAGGTTCCTGAGGCTCCTGAGGTTCCTGAGCTTTCTGCCTCATCCTTCCAAGAGCGCAAGATACCGCAAGCCCACGTCTGTCGGTTTGGTTGGGATGCTTTGAAGGAGAACCGATGCGAGACTGGATTGCACGTCGGGCCTTCTGCCAGATACGTGCCATGGATGAGCATAGGGGAGACTCCACAAGCATTGCAAGGTCTGGTATCATAGTGCTCAGAGCTCATTCTCAGGCTTTCGAACTGCTGCGCAGGTTACCATGTATGGTCTCTTTGTAGAGCACACGCTGGGTGACATGACGTACTGGGAAGGACTGGTGCAGAAGTGCAGAAGGCATCTAGATTACTGTCGACTGATGACCGCAGCTAGACCTGCTTCCACAGTCTACCTGGACACGGCAATGTGAACGAACACTGTCGCAGGAGAGGATGGCACAACCTTCTTCTATCAGTCAGAGCTCCCATATGATGCTATGCATGCCTGAGTCTCAGCAATTTGCCATGTTAGCAGCAGTCCTCATTCCAGTTGCTTGGGTGCTGCCCGTGGCCTGTGCTTGAGCTCAGGCTGATGCTGCTAGCAAGTCGTCGACAGCGCCGTTCTCAGGCTGCGGGTGTCTCGGAGATGATGGTGTTGAAAAGCCTTGTGGTAAATATTGAGTATTCCGTAAATGGATACGGAGCACTTCCTTGTTCGGGGCGATTCCTTCTTGATGGGATGCGGCAAGACTTGAGAGTGCTCGCCATGTCTCAGAGCCTCACTTTGTTGCCATTGTGGAGCTCCTAGGCCCAGGCGAAGCCCGGTTTCAGCCGCAGACATCTCACTTTCCTGCTCCGCAAGGTATCGAGTCGGAGACCAAGTGCAACGCCACGTAGGACATGGTGCTCCCCGGACACGTTGAGGGCAATCATTGGTAAATCCGTAGTACTGCACCATCTTGCACCATCTTGCACCCCAGCCACCGAAGCAGATGGTTGACAATACGTACACTTTGAGCTGGCATGCTGACACGGCAGTAGCTGTGTTAGATGCTCCGTGTCAAGTTGCAGGTGTTGGGGTCTACTGCTACTTTCGTGACCACGACGTCACAGTGCCAGCTGGCATCAAAGCGCCAGATCACGCGACTCAGCTCCATCAGCAAGTTGGACGAATCTCATCCCAATATCTCGCTTGCTCTCCGTCTGTCTCGGTGTCTCTCCTTCCTCGCCTCTCCCCCTCTATCGCGCTCTCCCTCTCTCTCTCTCACTCTCTCCCTCCCTCCCCTTCTTCTGGTGAACAGTCTCGATCAACAGGCAAACGAAGCCACATGTGCACATCCCTTTCAGTTGCAGGGATTGCTCTTCTAGAGAGCTGTACAGCCGGACCTAAGTACCAGTCATCAGCACAACACACACACACACACACACGTCTAATCACTGTATATTTGCTTGTCGGACGAATGTCACGGAATGCAACTGCAACCTGTAGACAGTGGCGGAGCACTGTCATCACACACATCCAATTAGATTAGATGCTGGAATGCTTTGGCATCCTGTCTCATGATCTGTCTAATGCTCCGTGGCCAGGAAGGAGTCCAGTTCAGGAGCCTTGCCTTCGCCGCATTGGTCGTTCTGTGGAGTTGCTTGAGGGTTCAAGAGCAAGACAACACTTACCGCATTGGAAAGATCTAAGGAATGCCTTCACAAAGTGGCTCAACGGTGGTCCCAAAGTCTTTTCGCCAGAGTTGCTTTCTCAGCAATCCGCGGCAAGGTTATGCATGGAAGAACATGTTATGCCATGACTCAAGAATGGTGAACCTGGCGCAGATAAGCTGATACTGATTGCTTTTCGCTGGAAGAGGGGTTGCACAAAAGCAGTTCCTCGGATAAGAGGTCCTGCCTGCTCGTGTGCGAGAAGAAGTTCGGACGCATTGAGTGTCTCTTGCCTAATGTGAGATGACTTGAGCTTCATACCAGCTTTTTTCCCGTGCGCATTGTCATCGTTCCGGGGAATTTGGAGGCGTTCTTCAGAAGGGCTCTCGTTGCTTGGGCCCTTCCACGGACAGCAACAAGGCAAGGGCTGAGCATTCTCCAAGCACCCGGTGCTCTTTTGTTTCCACCAGTGTCGTGTGCATGTGCGACTTGAGCCAAGCTGCCTGCATCCGACAGCTTAAAGCATGCTTGTTTTCAGGTTGTGAAGCGTACGGCCGGAGTCTATCCATGTAGCCCACATAGCCTGGGGTGTAGCACTTTTGTGGATGGGTCTTGGATATGCAGGACACCCCGCACTTTGTCAGCACATGAGACGGATCTGTCAGAGCAAGCGCCGCTGAGGGTGACATGTGATCCGTGTCCTTGGCACGCCTGGTTTCCCCGGCGTTTCGCTCTTCCGGCTTATGCCGATGCCAACCCGAGTGCCGAAGCACTTCGCTTGTACATACACGAAATTCATGGTGGAGCCCTGTTCGGGCTCTAGGTCGATCTCACTGCAGCCAGTGCAGGAAACATCTCTGATTCATATCACCGCCAGTTGGGGCAGGAGTGCAGTCCTGCCCCTGAGTGGCAAGCGGTGCGAGGGCCCTTGGTGAATCCTTGGACCCTCTGGGATGTCCCAATCGGGTTGTTCTAAATTAGGGTCCCCCTTCTGGGATCCAAAACAAAAAGAAGGGTACCAGGGGACCCTCATTTAGAACAGCTCCCAATTCTCTTTAGAGCCTTTTGGGCTTCTAGTGGCCGTGCCAGAGCAGGCACTTTAACTGAACCTGGGAGCAGCAGCAGCTTCAGGTTTGCAAACTGTAGGAGGATTGATCCCGATTGGGACTCCTCGCTTCATTGTTTACAGTGTTCAGAGCTTATATGAGCTTATGGAGTATCGGAGTATCGGTTCAGAACATGGACAGATCGTAGATGGTGACAAAAGCTTGGCCGACCTCAGCTTCGTCTCAAGGCTGCCCTGAACCTTCCACTCGCAGTGCAGTACCCTACGTACACAGTATGCTGCAAGATATGCTTTTACCTCACCTGCTGCAACACAGGTCACAGAGGAAAGCAGCAGAAGTCTGCATTCTCCCAAAGAGGTGGGACTGCTTGTTGAGCCAGCATGTGCACAAGGTTTGCCAGTAGGCATTTGCAAGCGTTTTGAGACTCAACACTGCCCAGCCAAAATGCCCACACCACTGAGACCTTGCAGGTCAAGCTTCAAGCGCGGTTGGCCGAGGCCAGCCCTATACCGTGGCAAGATCTTGAGACTGCTAGACTCAGCTCTCGACTTCTGCTACGACGCTACGATTTCTTACGGTTTCCTCCCTTGCTGTTGCCGGGGAGGGGTCTTTGTGTGGAGACGTGTTGCGTGACATTGCGTGCCTGCACCTCCCTCCCCTGTGTGCAGGCTGAAGCGGCGCAGGCAGAGCTGGAGGCGTCCCAAAGGGCTGCGGCCAAACTGTTGAGTGTGCCGCGTGCCAAAGGAGTACCTGTATTGCTGGGGCATACCGGCACATGCTGAGCCTGCGGCTGCGGAGCAGGCTCAGTCCAGGAATATCCTGGAGAGTGCTGAGAGCGACAGAGTCGTCCGCGCCTTGCTCGTAGAGTTCAGAAAGTAAGTGGATGCGAAGCCCGAGATACTGCGAGGCCTTCGGCCAGGAGCTGCGTGCACTGCAAAGGAATGTCCGTTCCGAATTGGAGGTGCCCTCTTTGCCCGAGTGCTGATGCGAGTCTTCTGACGAGAGTGATCTGATCAGAGTGCTGCAGGGCTGAAGCAATATATTGCAAAAAGCAGAAATTTGCCTCAGCAGCTTTTGTCGGGTCTCAGGCCTCCTCGGAAACGGCGGTGCCTTCACGTCAGGTGGGGCATCCTGATTTGTCCGCTGTTCTCAAAGCTGCTTATGTCGTGGAAGGCTGTTAACAGGTTTGCCATCCGAACTGGAAGGCAGAGTCGCACCGCCCTCCAGACTCCCTAGTTCTTCCTGCTGGCTATAGAATTCCTGTGCCTCGACCCTGAAATGTTGCAGTTCCTGGACTCAATGCTCCCAGCCGCAATGTTAAGACCTAGTTCCTAGACACTGGCCCCGGAAAGCGAAAATTTACAGCATGAGCCGCCTGCCTTACTACTAGGACCTTACTAGGACCTGGTTTCAGTTTTCCAATGTCGACTAGTCAGCGGTTTCAAGGCAGCGGGTCGAAAAACAAGCCCCAATCCCTAAACCAATTACCGGGTTTTGGTTTCGATTCTAGTCAGCACCGGCAGGGTTATTTACCGCATGAGCTCCTGGGATTAGTTGTCCAGGTTCGCCTGGAAGCACAGCTGGGTGAGATGCGGCTCGAGCGCGAGCAGGTGCATGTAGATATTGGCTAGCAATGAAGCTGACAGGAAGCTGACCCCAAACTGGCCCCCAAAACAAATATTTGAATAATTATAGTTATAACACGAGTGGCCATTGGGCTCATTGTCCGTGCTTGTGACAATTGTCCATCAACACTGTGAGTATTCTAGTGACCAAAGCGGTGAGAACTTGCACATGGAATTCTGCAAGATTAGTAAGCCAGCTCATCGAACCATGCCCTCAACTCTCACAGGGTGACTCCCTTGAACTCGAAGCTCTCAGCATTTCCAAACCTTGTGTTCACTTCAGGGCTTCGCTTGTGTCTCCGTATTGTGGGCACCATACCAGCGTGGGACCCATCTTTAAGGTAAGCGTCAGCAAAACCCGAGGGAACACATTGAACCTACAAAGGAGCATGCCATTCCTACAACTATTCCTACACTTTTCCATATGGTTGTTTTCCACAGCATGTCCCCTACACAGAGTGGTTTACAGTGCGAAAGGCCGCTCAAGAGTTGCGAGCGGTGCAGGGCCGCGAAGCTGAGCTGCGAAAGGCGCAACCCTAAACCCTCAGCCCTTAAATCCCTAAACCGCTAAACCGCCAAACCCTTAAACCCCTGATCCCTAAACCCTAAACCCCAAACCCCAAAACCCCAACCCGAGACCGAAGACCCTAAAGCCACAGTTCATCACGGAAGCGTTGTACTCAATGTGAAAGCAAGCTGATGCAGTTCCCTGCCCCGCAACAAGAACTTCCAGAATCTGCATAGCTGTTTGAATGCTGTGAGGACCTGGAGTCTGGGCGCCGTGAGCTCAAGAAAATGCGAGAGGCATGCCTGCAGTCCATTGCCTATAGCGGTAGCGGCTTACCTTGCCTACTTCCGAGGGGTCGAATCGTTTCTCACACAGGCTTGCAGCTCAATGGGCTGGTTTTGAGGATAAAAAGTTTACAGTAGAGCCCCAGGAACGGAAGGCCCAGCCTGCACTGGTCTGACTTCTTGCTCAACCCGAAGTCTCCAAAAAACCCTTTAAACCCCTAACCCCCCGCCGGCGCACAGTTCCTTCATCTCTAGACGTGATGCAGGACTCTGCGTAGAAATGACCCTTGCCCTTGCGACCTGCTGGAGCCGTACTCATTGAAAGGCTCACCAGATGGAGGTGGACCTGTTGGCGGCAGAGCTGCAGCAGTTTCAGGTCCACATCTTTTTCGGGGTTCCTTGTCCGAGCTGTGTGTGTGTGTGTGTGCCTTGCTCAGTGACAGGAAGAGCAAGGGCTTCTTGAAGGGAAGCTTCGAAATTGTGAGGCACGAGCCGTGTGTGGACTCTTTATGCCTCATTTATTGTCACCGTGTACTCTTGTACGCTGAGCATCTGTGTCGAAGCATTGCTCAGGCACATGAGCCGCTGTTGCGTGCTCGTGCTGAGGAAGCTCAAGCACAAGTGCTGGAGGAGTGCTGTGCACCCATGTTTATTGCCCCGATTTTCCCCACGTGGCTTCATCCGCAGGAGTCCCGCTTGGGGCGGCGTTCACTTCAGCGACAGTTGCGCACTTTCGAGGCACGTGTTTGCAGATGGGACACTACAATCTGGTCACACGAAACAGGGGATTCGTGCCACCTGCCCTAGCCTAGCCTAGGCCTAAACCTTCAGAGGCAGCGTCGTTAGCAGAAAGGGATGGCAAGAGTCCCGGTCTCGAGGCCCGGGAGCGTGAGACCGAGCTGGCGAGCCTCTTATTTCGAGCCAGTCTGGATGTCTCACGACTCGAAGCATGGAAAGGGCCGAATGGTCTTCAGGCTACCGAGCAGCTCCGCCAAGATCAGCAACACCTCGTTGCGCAGCTCGCTGATGTGGAGGTGAGCTTGTGCCGGCTTGTGCGACAGCGTTGTGTTGCCATGCCCTGCCATCGGCTGTCAGGCGAAGCTTGTCGCAGGACTCCCAGAAGTTCGAAAGGATGGTTGTCGCTTTGCACAAGATGGTCTCACAAAGTGCTTGAGATGAGGTCACCAAAGAGCAGCTACACAAGGCCTGACAGCTCGGATCCGCCAGTGTGTGAAAACATTCGGGGACGGACTCCAACTCAAGAGCTTGCCTTGCCTTTACAGCTTGTCTTGATGAACTCTTGATTTTCTAGTAATTAAAACTTACAGCTCAGCGCAGCTGATCTCAAGACCATACAGGATGTATCTGTAATTCTGATCGATATACACTTTAAGCATGAGAACCCTTGAGCACATGAAGTTCTCTTCTTGGAATGTGCCCCTTCCTCTCGGCACCGGACAACCAACTCCAGACTGTGTTTTGACCCTACTCGTATGTCGTCAGCACGAATCTACAATGGGAATCGTACGCTCCAACAGGACTCAGCCCATCATGTCTTCCAAAATTTATCGATCCCAGAGATGCCCACGGCCTGCTGCCCGGAAAAAAGCCACGTCTGACCGTGGGCCCAGATACCTGATGTCGATTATCAAACTCAACATTTGTCTAATCCCCGAAGCCTGAAACTCCCCAAGACTCCCCAAGACTCGGCAAACGACCTGATGGAAACCAGGGAAACCTCTGATTCGCTCAGCAAACGTTGCATGACGGTTACACGCTGGGCCTCTGCATACTCTTTACACAACGTCAGCCAGAGGCCAAGCACATGATGCACGTGATGCGAGGCGCGTGAGGATAAGCTCACCGACCGGCAGCGGCTCGAGAGGCAGCAGGATGCCCAGCAAAAGCCAAAATCTCGGGGTATTTTCTGACGCTCGGAACCGAAGACTCGCGCAAAGGCTGGACAAGTTTCGCACCGAGCTTGGCGAGCAGCGCCAGCTGCGTGAGGCCACAGCCTTTGAATTGATGGCAAGAGCGAGAAAACTTCATGTACGTACATGCAGTGCACGATGGCTGTTGAGCAGGACGTGCCAGCCACTCCTTACTCCTTACCACGGGGCACCTAGGCAGTCGAGAAAGAGAAGAGTTACGTCGAGCTGGGTGGAAGCCGACAGCACCAAGCAGGGTCCCGAGCCGTTTTACTTTTAACCTGAAAAACGTATTGGGACAGCCATGAATAAAATTGGCCACTTGCTCAGGAGCACACTGCCCAGATTCGAGTCTTGCGATCGGCTTCAAAACATCTCACCGCTTGATGCCTGGCATGTTGCAACGTATTGTAGCAATGTTGTGGTTTTGTGTTGGAACTACATCAGGAGCGGCTTGATTGCTTGGAGTCTTCGAGAGACTTGGATGCGCGAACTATATAGAAACCATGCACAGCACTGCGCAAGTTTCTGATGTCTTTTTTATTCAGAAGTCCCGCCGAAGGGCGTCTCTTAAGGCGAGTCCCAGCAGCGAGACCACGCAGCCTCCGAGGTGCGAGGGATTTAAAGTATATCTCGCGTTCATGTATTGAATTGCTCTGCTCTTGTTTCATGATGCCAGCCTTGGCGACGTTGCCACCTGTATTTGCGGGGTGCAACGTCAGCTCAATGTTAGCTACCGCACGACTGCAAAGCCTCATCAACTAGCCGGGAGAGAGTGGTGAGGGGAAGGTGCCATCAGCAAGTGCGCGGTTTTCCTTTCTGCCCACGTATGTAAATGGTAATGCTGTAATGCTGCTTGGAGGCGCAGCACAAGTGAGGCATAAGTTGTGCAAAATTCGCAGTTGAGACGCCTAGGCGGAGGCTGCGAGGCATCGAGAAGCCTTAGAGGCCATCTACACAGATTCAGAAAGCACGTTGTGTGTGGGCGCCGTGCCAAGTCTGAATCGATTCCACGGGAGCTGTGTGCAGGAACGTGCCCAGGCCGCTGAAACCTGGGGCCAGGCGAGGCCACCTTTAGTAGTAGAACAATATGAACGCTAACGCGCCCCGCCTCGGCCTCGGCGTGGCCTGCACGTTAGCTGATGTCAGCTGGATTTTTCAGGCGCTGGCAAGTGACCAGGGCCGAGTGCCGCAGCTCTGCTCATGGGCATCATGTGAAGGCACAGAAGCATAGAAGGCCCACAGCTTCGCAAGGGGTGTAGGGGATCCTGAAGAGGGTAGGTTCTGGAAGGCTGTGGAGGTGCGTGATGGGTCCATAACGCCCAGAGAGTGCAAAGGCTTAAACAACAGGACCTCGCTGTGCGCAGTCCACGGGAGGCACAAAATAAAGGGTGTTTGCACGGGATTTTGTATAGGAATGCCTTCAGATCTACAGAAAGTAGGACATACCCCAAAATTCATACCCTGCAAGTGTGCAACTGCCCAAAGTCGTGACACATTTGCTTTGCTGTAACAGCAATGACAAAGCTGATATAGCAACATGCCTCTGCTGTGCGAGTGGTGAGCAAGTCCATTAGACTTTGGCTGTTTCTTGGATTCTTGGTCTGTTATGCAGCCATGGCTGATTTCAGGTTCCAAGCCGGGACACTAAAAGATGACAAGTAATACTGGGAACTCTCAACCGGCGAGCTGTTGTGGTCTATGGTTCCCTTATGTTCCCTTTGCGGCGCTTTACTTCGCCAACCAAGAGCGAGCAAAGGCCAGACCAGTTCAGGTGCGGGGCGGGGGAGGGGGGTTTCACAAAGCCCCCCTTGTCCATTGAGGGGGGCGGGGACCAACACAGAACATACCCCGGTGCCAAAAAACTTGCGGGGTATGTTCTGTTCACGCGCCCGCCCCAGGCGCAGAACAAAACCTCCACCCAACAAGTCAAAGGGACTGAATCTCACTCGCTCTGGCAGCAGAAAACATTCAGCTTGGCGTATGCTCTGCCAGCAGATTGTCAAGTGCATAGGGGGATGTTAGCATTATGGCGCGGTGGGGCACACTGTGCATTTCGACCTACGCGGTTTTCCTTATGTTTTCTTGGCCTAATTCGACCTATGCAGATTTCTTGAAGTTTTCTTGGCCTCTTCATGGCATTTTAGGTTATGTTTGTGGGGTATCGTCATTTGGCGAGTCATTTGGGGTATCGTCCAATTTCATAGGGTCCAGAGGCCCTAGAAGGTTCAAGTTGGCAGGTTTTTCGGGGTCAAGCGAGGTCCGCGCAGGTTGATGGGGTCCAGAGAGGCACAGGGTCCCCAAACCCCCTCCCACAAACCCTTCAGACGAAGGGCGGTGAAAGGTCCGGCTTGTATATTGTATATTTCATTTTCGCATGTTGGAGGAGCTTGCGCGCCGGCTTCAGGAGGCCGAGGAGCCACAGTAGATCTTCAGCTTTGTTTCCAGATCGAAGCATCTCGACCCTGAGACAATCTGAGCTTCTTCAAACACTGCAGAGGGGCTCTCCATTTTCGAACGCAGAGGCTTCGTGCCATATTTGATGCCCAACCAATGGTCCCCCGCCCCCCTTTGGTGTGGTTGGATGGGTTGGGGTTTCGGGTTAAGGTCTAGGATTTAGGGTTCAGGGAGTGGGGGGGGGGGGGGGGGGGTGGATACAGCGGTGATCATGTAGCCACGCCAGTCGTCGCCGAGTTATATATGTCGCTGCCTGTTAGACAACAACACAGGTGTGGCATGTGTGGCAATGGTGCATGGCGTGACGCAGCCAAAGTGTAGCTGGCAGGGCCGAAGAATTTCTGGAACTGGCACACAACTGCACTACAGTGAGCCTTTTGTTTTTGAAACCTGGAAGAGTAGAGAAGCGGAGATGCATGTTGCTGCAGCGATGTTTATGTTGCAGGATCGCCATCGAGAGATCCATGACGAAAAAGAGGCCGGGCAAGTTCCTCGCTACTGGTATGCCTGAGAGTGCTTAGGGTGGGTCAGCACAGCAGTGTAGTTGCTGCAGCGTTAGAAGCCTTTATCAGGCGCTTCACCTTAAGAGCCATGGTCACATCACCGAGGCTGGCATTTTTCGTAGTGGGGGGGGGGGGAAATGACATAGTCAGCGTGGCTTTGCCGGGCTTCCAGGCACACTCCTTCATGACTCGCCTGCTTCACGCTCTTGGGCACAAGGCAGGACCAAAACTTTGCCTTTCTAAGCATGTGCTTTGTCAAAGGACTCGATCTCAATCTTGGCCAGGCTGACGAGCTTGTCGCGTTTGTGTCCGGCCACAGCCATGGAGATGAGCAGGCTGGTTCAAAACGGAGCCTGGATGAAGCGGCTGATGACATAGTGACGTAGCGACGTGGCGAGCCATTGACGTAGTGTTCCAAGAAGAGCTGTTTTCGCAAACGTGTAATCAGGGTAATCCTGAAGGTGATGCGGACCAGTGCGGAGCTGGAGCATCTGAAAGCATCAGGAGGGTCTCCAGAGGCATCCGGCAACCCTTCTGACATGAAATTGACGCATGTCGGGGCATCTGCAAAGTACACCGAGACATCAAGTGCAGAAGGACGAGAGTGATGGTGCATGATTGCCACACGTGGGCTCGTGAGATGCAGAGAGTCGGCACCTTGACAGGCACTTGTCACTCGTGCCTTCGCGGGGCTGTCGCAGACTTTGGCAGCCTTGGCACGAGAGCCGTGACCTTAAATGCGCCAGTTGTGGTGCTCCTGACTTTATAGTGGCTGCAGGCATGTGCGACAATACTGTGCCCAGGAACACAGAGCTGCGAGCAGGGGGCGGCACGCCAACTAGCGCCACCATGAGGCTCTGAGTGGCATGGGTGTGGCTTTTGGGGTAGTGACATGGTCCCTTAATATGGCCCTTAATTTGGGGGAAACCCTTTGTCTACCCATTGCATACCCCGTAAGATTTCAACCCAAGGGCCCTTCAAAGAAGGTAAGGGCCCATATTGAAAGGACAAGGTAACTTCTTTTAGATAACTGCAAGCAACATGTTGGGAGCTCACTCTCGCCATCTTGAGAGGCGGCGACCTGCACCAGCAGCTGCGACGGACGTCAGTGACCACAGTGACCACAGTGACCACAGGGTGACAGGGGCTGAAAGATGCTGAAAGTATTGTACGGAGCTTCAAGTAGCTTGTGGATGCACCCTGAAAATCTTTGAAAGACAAGAGATTCCAAATGCCGTGACTGCTCAGGTTACTGTCAGTGAGGTGCAGACCAAGATGGCCTCCCTCCAGAAGGAGCTCATCAAGCTAGGTGCTCAGGTCCCCCCTCTTCGCTGGATGTGAACGGCACGGCATGTGAGTGTCAGGACACGGTCTAAAGCTCCAGCCCATTGAAGAGTAGCAGTTGGATCATCCCGCTGTCAATGCCCGTCCTTTGAGGCTGCGAGAGCAGAACCAGGACGGGACTCTAACTCGAAGACATATGGTCACAGGGGTCACAGGGTGTGCTGAAAGCATCCCGAAGTGCTCCGACTGGGCATCTGGGCAACAACTGGGACAACATGTGACTTTCTGTGGCATGTGACAACGAAAGCGCTTGTGCAGGACTTAGAGCTGGAGCGGAAGCAGCTCCTCAGTCGTGTTCTCAGCCCGTAAAGTTAAAGTCTTTGAGCCTCAACGAAACGCAGAGTAGAAAACGGATCGCGAGAGCAGGCGTGCAATGATACACGTCTTTTGAAGTTGTGCTAGACTAGCTCTGCCTGCAGCTTCCCACCAAGGCAGTTCCGGGAATGGCTCGGCGTCCCAGGAGGCTGAGGTCTCCTGTTCAGATCCGTTTGTCCATTGCCGGAGGATTGCGGAATCTGCAGATTCCTGTCATGACGCATCTTTAACATGATTTGCGAAGTCTTAAAATGCAGCCAACGATCATGTCGAGATGTTGGGCGACCTGTGGTTTGCCGGGCCAAGAATGCTGACTTGCAAGTGATCGGGGCTCCTTTGATCCTCGGAGTCTTAAACCTGCCAGGCAGCTCTCTCGGACATGAAGCAGCGAATGAAGATGGTTTCCCAGGCTGACTGAGCAATAGATGGAAACTCCAACACGTCTCAGCAACAATGTTGCTATGCCTATGACATTCACTTCAGTCAGACGGCAGCAGCCAGAACTCGAACTGGCAACGTGAGGCAAAGCGACGTGCAGAAGAGCGTGTCGAAGAACATCAGCAGGCAGCTGAACCAGTGCCAACTTGCATCTCGCGCCTGCCTGCATTTCTGTTGCAGATGCTGGCAGGCCTGTGCATAGATAGCAACTACATAATGGCCTAAAGGTGGCACCGCACGTCGCCAAGCAAGCCCTGGTACAGTAGTTTGCCAGGAAATTGCTCGTCAAGCGCGGGTGCACCAGGCAGAGCTGGAAAGGTGCCGACCCTGTGTCGCACGATTCGCGTTGTGTTGTGAAGAAGCAATTAGAAATTAGAAAGGCAAACATGATGTTAAACATGTATATCAGATGGCAGACAGAGCACACATAGCACGAATATACACAAGGCTCTCGCCACGCTTTGGAAATTCACTGTAAGTGAGCTTCTTCTGTCTCTCTCTCTCTCTCTCCCCCTTTGTCTTGGACATCATCATTGCACACAGTGTGTCATTCGTCGCTTGCACGCGCAGCAGATACGACTGATAAGAAAGAGTCGTCGTGGTCAGCAGCGGTGCTGCTTCTTGGGCCAGGTTTCAGCTTGATGTCGCCACGCAGCAGCAACAGCAGCTGGAAGAAAAGGCGCCTGCGCGAATGTTAGCCCAGATCGACAGACGAATGTCTGTTAAAACCCGGCAGAAAGTCTTGTTGCTGCGTGAATGGCAACTTAAAAGCAAGACTGTGGCCAGGATCATCTCAGGAGCAAGCTGTCCAACTCAGAGCGGCGAATCAAGATGCTGGAGGTCTGCTGACAGAGCGCCCAGCGGTGCTGTTCCCTGCTTGCAAGCGACAGGCCAAGCTGAAAGGCAGAGTTGAAGCTCAGAGGACTCTTCAAGTTTCTTGGATGGAGTTCATCCTGAATGGAGAGCATCTATCTGTAAATGTGCCGTTTCGCCGAACACCTCTTTGTTGTAGTGGACCAGACGCAAAACTTGTTCATGCCATTTTTACTCATCGCTTGCGAGTTAGTGTGCTGAGTGTGCTGTCTTCCGCAGCAGCTCAGGCAGAGAAGGAGGCTGTTGAGGCCAGGAAAGCAATGGGATCTAGTCAGAACCACCAATGCACTGAAAGCTTGAGCTTAGAATGATGGCAGCGGCGCTACTGTGGAAGCTGGCTGCTCCAGGAACAGCTGCGAATTGCCGCCAAACAGCTCGAGGCCGGAATAGATCAAAAGGAAGAGAGGGGGGGGGGACGTGCCTTGTATCAGCTTGCTGCTTGACCTCTTCTGCCAGGGCCTGCTCGCGGACGAGTCCAAAGACACAGACCTCCTGCATGGCGCTGAACCGGCAGTTCTTGTTTCCCATGCGCGCGTGTGCGCGCGCGCAGGTGTGCGTGTGCGTGTGCGCGTGCGCGTGCGCGTGCGCATGCGCGTGCGCGTGCGCGTGCGCGTGCGCTGCGCCGTGCGCGTGCGCGTGCGCGCGTGCGCGGGCGCGCGGGCGCGCGCGGCGCGCGCGCGCGCGCGCGTGCGTGCCGTGTGCCGTGTCTGTCTGTGTGTGTCTGTGTGTGTCTGTGTGTGTCTGTGGTGTCTGTGTGTGTCTGTGTGTCTGTGTGGTGTGTGTCTGTGTGTGTGTCTGTGGGTGTGTCTGTGTCTGTGTCTGTGTCTGTGTCTGTGTCTGTGTCTGTGTCTGTGTCTGTGTCTGTGTCTGTGTCTGTGTCTGTGTCTGTGTCTGTGTCTGTGTCTGTGTCTGTGTCTGTGTCTGTGTCTGTGTCTGTGTCTGTGTCTGTGTCTGTGTCTGTGTCTGTGTCTGTGTCTGTGTCTGTGTCTGTGTCTGTGTCTGTGTCTGTGTCTGTGTCTGTGTCTGTGTCTGCGTGCGTGCGTGCGTGTGTGCGTGCGTGCGCGTTTGTGCGTGCGTGTGTGCGTGCGTGTGTTTGTGCGCGCATGGGCTGAAATGAGTGTTAAGGCGAGACCTGGCTGCCCTGCCCGGCGCTGAGTTTGCTGGATTTGAACCAGGCTTTCCATTAAAGTTTTGGTGGGCCTGTATAGAATTCCTTATAAAGATTGGTGAGTGTGTCTGATCAGGGCGCGCCCGGTTCCCCCCTCCCACCCATGGTACCCGGTCTAAGGTTTAGGGTTTAGGGTTTACTGCCCCCCCCCCCCCCCCCCACCCCACCCCCGCGGTTGGGGTTTAAGTTTACAGGATCTTGAATCAAGGCTTAGGGTTTGGGGTTTAAGGGTTTAGAGGGTTTAGAGGGTTTAGAGTGTTTAGAGGGTTTAGAGGGTTTAGAGGGTTTAGAGGGTTTAGAGGGTTTAGAGGGTTTAGGGAGCAACCAGGTTGCGAGAAGACTCGCGGCCTAACAATCTCCAACAGAAGCGGTTTTTTCAAGTACGTCCTGTGCAAAGAAGGGATTGACGCAAGCATTGTGCGGTGCCATCGGTTCGGGAAGGTCCAAGCAGTTTGACCAGCTGCATGCCAAGCACCGCGCGCAGCTGGTCAGCGCAGAGCCTTGGCTGCCTAGCCTGGAACTATGCCACACTATCGGGCATCATTTCTCTGCAAACTGCACACGAGCATGTTAAACATGGTCTTTGGAGAAAATTGTGCATGGCTGAAGCTATCCAGGAAGAGCAGGCCAAACTCCTTCAATCGGAGCAGGCGCTGCAGGATTGTGAGTGCAGTCTTGCGAACAGGAGCACGACAGTTGTGTGTGTGGTGTGTGTGTGTGTGTTCATCCGTGGCAGCATACAGCCACAAGCTTTCTACGAGAGCCTTAGAGGCCATGCGGAAGGAGCTTGAGGCGAAGTTCTCTGCTGCACAGGCACCTTGCCCTGCATTTGCCGCTGCCGGGGTGTTCGCCGCAACCATGTAACTTGTCCGGTGTCTTGGGTTCATTCCTCCCGCCGGTGATATGAAAGGCATCTTGGCAGGCCAAAGAGGGCGAGGCTCGCTCAGAACTGTGTTGACCTCTTCCAAAGAACGTATACACGCTGTGACAGAGATTTGAACTCTCAAGAAAAGGATGGCAGTTTCGATGCCTGTCCGCCCAGAAAGCTTTGCTCGCAGTAGGCCGTTGCGTGGCAGAAGCATTGTGACGTTCTGGAGAAGGACCACGGGGAGGGAGGGAGAGAGAGAGAGCCGGGTTCCTCCTCTGGGGGGGACTCCTAAGTGCAGAGAAGAAGAGAAGAAGCCGGGAGACAGAGTAGTGGTCTCCTTCTAGAGGGCCTGTCTCGCGGGGTATGCAAGTCAGGGTTCAGGGAGAGACCCAATGGAACGGTCTGTTTTCATGCCAGCCCTCAGTGAGAGAGGGACAGAGAGAGGGAGACCATCAGCGAGAAGATCGGGTAAAACAAAGCGAAGATGGAATATCAAGATCTGACGGGGCATAATGAACATGTGTTAGTTTCCTGATCACCGTAGAAGGCGCACAAGGCAACTTTAAAAGCTGTCCGGACGGTGTGCTGCCTTCTACCCGCAGGACCTTCGCGCCTTGCGTGCGGAAAAGGCCAGGTCAGGTTTTGTATTGAATCATAACCAGGACATCTCGAATCTCAGGCCGTGAGGTAAGGGCTTTGGTGGTGGAAGTCGTCCCCGCCTCTTAGACTACTAGCTCTTAGACGGAGGGCACATTCTGTCACATTTGCACTACAGTAGTGGTACGTTAAACAATTGAGCATCATTCGCAATTCCCGGGCGGCCAGGCTGCAAGCGATGCCCAGGCGGAGCATCTCAGCAATGCACAAGGACTGTTTGCAGCTAACCAGCGATGAAGGATCCACGCCATCCGCGCTTTCCAGTAGACTAGCGAGACAATCCGGCACCTGTAGGAGAGAGCAGACGGCTTGTGGAGGACAGCCCGCAGCGTGATCAGCGTTCTGCGTTTCCGCATTCCTTCCCTTATCCCTGAGTTTCAGTCATTTTCTCTCGCTCACGGCCCTTGGTCTGCCACCCTTGGAGTGGAGGAGCTGCAGAAGGAGCTTAAGCGTCTGCGAGAAGAGCTCCAGGAGGCTTCGGAAGAAATGGAGACTTCACAATCTCGCGAAGCCAACGCACGTTACGTGCCTGTATCTTCAGACACTGCCCAGAATGCAGCCAACCATTCGTTATCTAATCTAGAGGTGCGGGGCTGAATTGAATAGGATGCATCTGAATTGAAAGCTCACGGGGGGGGGGGGTGGGGGGCGGCTGGAGGGGGGCACACCCCTTGCAGACATCATCAGGGAAGGGTGTAATCCAAAATGCTCGGCTTTTTCTGCTGGCTTACCCCCTCACAGGCACAGAAGTTTGAGCCTTTGGAGCTGCTTCTTCGGCTAAAGCGGTTGGAGGACTGCTCGTGCGAGTTCCCTTTGTGTAGCCGTGTAGCCATTCACTTGGCGAACTCGTGGCAGGAGGAACTCCAGGAGTCAGAGACGGCCAGGCCGCGTTTATTCATACATATATATACACACATTTATTTCAATTTTATTTTTGTGTTGTTGGTCATTTTTTGATTTGGTTAAGTCGTGATTTTTAAATTTTATTTTTATGTTGATATGTATGAATAAAGGCACCTGCCTGACGGCCTCGATGTCTCTACTATCATCCAATCGCAAGCACGGCACCAGGCGCCACCTGGAGCGTGAGCGAAAGCGGCGTCCAGGCAGTAGCCTCTCGTCTTGAATTGGCTGGGAGAAACTTGCAGCGGACTGGCGGTCGTGCCAGGTCCATTCTGCGAAGCCCTCCATTCCGAATAAGATTGGAAGAGCATTCAAAACTCAGGCGTCGCCAGCTTCTCTGCAATCCTGGAGGTGCTGCTTTACCTTCGGCTTTCCACGGAAAGAGTCACGATCTGAGCGAACCGGGCCCACAAGGACGACGAGACTGAAGACAGCGCCCAGACGAAGCCTGAGCCTGCACCTGCTCGACCTGCTCGACCTGCGCGACCTGTTCCAGATCCAGGCCAGAGAGACTTGACGTGAAGGATCGTGAAGTATGGGTGCTCTGAAGGTGCCAAAGTAGGTCATCTGAAGATAAGCACAGCCGTTCCATTGGAGTTTATGGGCCCGAAATGTCCCAGTATGATTGATCGCAAAACAGGCATGAAGAGCCCCCACAGCATCCTACAACTTAGGTCCTCCCTTCCTCTTCTTAGGGCTGGGCTTGCGTTCTTTTGCCTGGATTTTTTGTTGTTCATGGAAAGCCCATGGGCAAGGGATGAAGTGTTCAAGACCAGCCAAGAAAGCATGTTTTCCGACATCCTGTGGTCCTGCGTTCAGCGCAGCTTCGTGTTTCAAATCTGTTCCGCCAGAGGCGCTAGTGGTATTTTGCTCGCAACTAGCTTGCCGAGTGAAAGCTTTGGAGACTGCGTCCACTTGTCCATGGGCACACGAGGCACGAATGGTGTCATTTCTGCATTGGATGAGATTCAGGCCAGTGTTATTGCGCGCATCTTGCAGTGCAGTTGTTCAGTTTGCCATGCCTCTTCTGTGCAGGAAAAGCTTGCAGCTCGGGAGAAGGCCTTGCATGAGGCCAAGAACTTCACCAAGGCGCCTCTAGCCGGGCATCCTGCTAACTCAGCATCTTCGGTGGGTAGTGTTAAGGGAATGTCATTGAAAGGTGATTCAACGAGCAGCTTGACCTGTCTTCAGGATCCTGTTGCAGCTTCTTCGGATGTGCAAGCGACGAAGGACCTAGGGTTGTCACATACATTGCCTTGAGTTTCGATGAATGTGGCGTGGTGGTGATATTGCCTCATGCCAACTGTAAACACATTTCGCATAGGTGTTTCACAAGTGTCGCACACAAGTGCTGGATGATGCTTGTTCCATTATTGTGATGCGACAAGGGTCTGCCGTCCTTAGCGGAGCTGGAGCGCGACTTCGGAGCGTCCGGAGCTGTGCAGGGATGTGGAACAGCGTTGCGCAGCGCCATGCGGTGCAGGGGGAGAGCGCGCGCTGTTCTCTCAGCAGCTTGTTGGCGACCTGCCCTGTCGCGCGAGTTACTTAGGTATGCTCGATCGGTGGGCTTCAAAGGTGACGTCAACCAGCTTTGGGAAGAGGCGCTGCAGAGTCTTAGACTCGAAGGATTGTTGCATGACAAGCACATGTTGTCGAAGTTTGCTTGCCAGGATACAAAGCCGATTAAGCAAGCTTTGAAGCAGCAAGACCCGCGCAGGCCCAGGCAGTGGCAGCGGCCACGTCGCTAGGGCAAGAGGCGCAAGTTATTGGCAGTTGGTGTTTGTTGGCCATCGGCGACCGATCTTATCTGCGAAGGGTTCATCATGTGCTACAGCTTATCTGGGACCAGATGTAGCGGTTTCGCTGTTCACGACATTCTCAAATAATGGGAAGCAAAGAGGACAAGCCGGTTGAACTTAAGCATCGACCTCCTCAGCAGCCCATCTTGAGTCTCAATGTTTGCCATCGCCCCGACTCTCGCTTACTGGCTCGTCAGGTTGGAGACACGGCCTTAAAGAAGGCACGATGCACATGAAAGCTTCTAAATAGGAGCTCACAGATCTTGCGCAGGCCCGATTCCCTAGATGGCACTTGGCCAGGTGCGAGATGCCTTAGCAAGAAGAGAAGCTCCTGTAGCAGGGCACCCAGACTTGTAAGGGCTGCAATTGTAGCGGAAGTTATCTTTGCAAACCTGTCGACATCTCAAAGCACGAGAGATGCCACCTTGTCCAGGCTGCTGACATTCAGCTTCGGCCTTCGTCCGACGGAGCTGCCGTGTCGGGATCCCTGAACTAAACCTCAACCAAGCAGCGCCATGCACTGCCCATTAGTCGACACTTAGCAGGTCAAGTCCTCCTCGCCGCGGCGTCAGTGCCACAGACAACAATGACTAGCACGCCGTACATCGAACAACGCAATGGGTGGTTGATGCTGTCTTGTTTATGCCAGGCTTGGCCCAACAGTCCAACCCCCAACCCATCTCAACCCTCAGCCCCAAATCAAAAACCCATTAGGGTTGCTTGATGTTTCTTGCGTCGGTCAGACTGCAGGTCGCTTTGGACTTCGTGCAAACTTTAAGCTCACAGGGGTCATGCTTGTTCAAGTGTTTTCACGGGTGGTGGGGATAGGGGTTGGCCCCTGGAGGGCATGCCAGTGGAAGATTGGCACGCTTGCAAGCATCTGACTCCTCACTCTAGTAGGTTTTTTGTAGTTATCGCTGTAGTGCAGAAGTCGAGGTCCCCTGGAAGCCCAATGGAGACCATTTTCCAGGCGCGGTTGCCTTCGGATCGATCCTTTCGACTGACACGCTTTTTCGACCGCGGAGTGCGGACGTCTACCAGCTGCCATCCGTTGCGCACGTCACGTGTCATATGATCATGCTGAGCTGCATGCAGGTGGTCACAAGGAGCGGTGCGCACGTTGTGACTAAAGGGGTTTGATGCACAGCGCCAGAAATGGCACAATGTGTTCAGTGGGCTCCGTGAACATGCTGGCGTGACTATTGCTTGCCTTGTCGGAAGGAGACTGGCGGGGACAAGAGCGAACTTCTGTCCGGAACCAAGATTGAATCTACAATATGATGTCAGCTTCTTGTTGCTGACAAGTGACACCCGCCTCGATCCCAGCCGAAAGTAAAGACAGCAAAACTCAATTAGTTCTACTCCTAAACAACCCCACAGAGGTTGCACTATCCTGCAAAGTCATCTCAGAGACCTACAAGCCAAACGAAAGAACAATGGAGACAAGAAGTGGGGTTGGAGTAGGGGCGCATCCCCGCTCCGGATTCCAAGCGAAACAAAAATGAGACAGTTGGAACCAAGAAGAGGGACAATGTACAAATCTTTCGGGAGGATCCCAAAATTGCATTTCTTCGGGCGTCACCATTTAAGGTCCGATGGCCGAAAAGGCGGCACGTTGCCACTTGCGGCACAGGACATAAGAGTTCCAATTGCTGCATATGCACAAGCTGAATGCTGCTATATCTACTGTATTGAGGATTGGAGAATCAAAGATTGTGTCACGTTGCATGCCGTCCTGCTCGGGAGTGCTGTGATTTGCTTGCATTGGGAATGGCGAAGGCATCAGAACAAAGTTTTCGTGCTGTTTCGAAGGATTGTTTCCAGCAGGCGGAGGCCCAGCAGAAAGCAGAGCAGAGTGGTGCTGGTAAAGTTTACTCTTGAAAGGGCACATGAGGAACACTATTGAGTGGCCAGAGGGTGCTTGATTGCCAAGCGACTCGCAGGTTCTTTGCCAACGACAGCGATTCTCTGAGGCCGTTGTCGCAACTTGCGGCGGTACTGTTGATTCCATGTGCGTTACAGGCAGTTCCGCTTTTCCGGCGAACGCTGGAGATTCTGCAGGCAAGCGTTCCAGATCGCTTGAGATCGTTTGCCAGCAGCTTGTGTATCAAGTCTGTTGGCAACACACGGCGTATGGAGATATGGCGTGCGGTCCAGGAGTCGGGTCTTGGCTCGGAGCCCGGTACAAATGGTGCGGTGATCACGGCCGAGGCAAATGTATGCTCTCATGTTGCACCACGCTTTTTAAAAGTCACATGATCATTAGCAATAGTGGCGGTTCTGAGCCTTGCAGGTATGGGCGCACTTGGGTGTTGCAATGCAGTCGGCTCCCCGCCATTTTCCAATGCTGGACTGATCTCAATGCTGTGACGAGTGCTAAACCACAAAGCCTGACTGTCTAGAAAGGTACAGTCAGATACAGAAAGGGTTTTTGCCGCCCCACCCAGCTTGAAACTCTGTTGGTGTAGGTTTGTTCGAACCTTGATGAGCAAAGTCTTTCAGCTGAGCTTGCTTTCGTATCTCCACTGCTCACGCTGCTAGCCTCAGCAAAAGTTACCTTGCAAGGGTGCCCTGCAATCAGGCACTTCCCTCTACTTTGCACTCGGTGTAAAGCCAGTATCTGTGTGAGAAGGTCATTGGACCAGGTGCCGGAAGCCATCGAAAGCTACAAGCGAGCAGTGTGGCACCAAGCATTTTAGTTGTTGCATTTCTTCTAACTTCAACGATCACAGTAAAACATTGCTGTCTGTTAGCAGCCTCGCTGCACAAGTCGAGACTCAGAAAGCCCTGCCCGGCCCGCGCCTCCCCCTCCCCGCCCTTAACCACCTGCACCACCTCGCCTCTTACCACAGCTGCAAAGGTGGCGCTTGATCCGGCTCTTCATGCGCGGAACCTGGATTTTGATGTCAACGACATTTACTTTACCAGCTTTTTTGGTGTTCTCCTGTGCCAGTCAGACCGACATTCGCCTAGCCATACATGGACTTCTCGGAGTAGTCTGCCAAACTCTGCCCCTGCTGTGGAAGACACATCCGACCAGTCATAATTCGAAGGTGAACTTAGAGTCCAAGCCAACACAATGGGCTACCGGCTACCTGAGAACCTCTCCGTCTTATTCTTTGAAGGCTGCCGCCAGATCAAGGAGCCAAGTTTGCCTCGACAAAACATGTTTTATCCATGCCGCTACGTTGCGACTTAGGTCTGCTTCGCGAATCTTGCAACGCTTCATGCGTATCTCAACGACTCGAAGAAAGCCTTGGAGTGACCCTGGATCCTAAATTTCGAGTTGCATGGAGGGAAAGCGCATCACTTCAAAATGCTGCTCAACACGGTTGTGAAGGTACATTGGGAGTGCCATCGACCTCGACCGGGAAAATCGGACCTACACACAGCTCAGGCAAGTCTGGATGTAGAAAGCAGTCAAGCAAGGCGCTGCAGGGAGGTTTTCTGAGCTCCATGGATGTCTGAAGAAGTGAAGTTGGCCGACACTACCATGCAATGGCTTGACATGTGTTTCCTCGCGGAGGCGTCAGTTCTTGGACTGCCAGGTCCAGGAAGCCTCAGAGGTGACGGATGGGCTAAACTGGGCTAAGCCTTCGCAACTGAACGCAAATTCCTTCTCCGGATTTCGAGTCAGCATAGCTGCCTAGCTCACCGCTGCATCTCTGAAGGCCCATGACTTCCAAGATCAGCGAATCATTTTGAGCTCCCTTTTCTCAGTAACCCTCGTATGTGACCGCTTGACAGGCAGACAAAGCTGTCGAGGATTCAAGCTCAACGAGCTCAACGAGCTCCACGTCTGCATAGGCAAAAAGATGTCAAAAGATGTCAAAAGATGTCAAAAGATGTCAAAAGATCACATTATGATGTACGGACGAAAAAGCCAAGCCGAGACCCGAGGTGCCTCGAAATCCCGCGAGGCAGCTGAGAGGGCTTCTGGAGAGGATTTGCAGGCTGAGTATTCGAAGACATTGAGAGGGCTGAGAGACTCTTGGAGAGGGGGCTTTCGAGAATGTTTAGGAAGTTTAGTAGTTTAGTTAGTTCGAGTTGCCGGAGCCTCCCTCGCGAGCTTTAGAAGAACGGTGTTAAGCCAGATGTTACATCTTTATACATCTTTCTCGTGTGTTGAAGACAATGTGGCGGCCGAGGCTGCCTGACTGGCGACGCAGCTTGGGTAAAAGAGGGCAGTTCTGAGGCAGACGAAGCCTCATAGCAGCTCCACAACTGGGTCGTTCATGACCATCTTGTGAGTGAGGTCCCATGGCCAAGTCGGTTTTTCCGACGTGTAGCATTGTGTAGCTTAATGTGCGTCAAGTGAAGCAGCCCGCAGAGCCACAGACTCCTGAAGGCCACACGGGGCCTCACTCGCCGTAGCTTTAGGAAGTGAAGTCGGCCAAAGAAGGTTTTCAAGCTACATCATGATTCCAGTGTGGAAGCCAATGGTTCATGCCGCTCACTGGCACGTATAGATAGCAGACGCCAAAGTTTCACTCAAGCTGCGATGTAATTTGCTGTAGGATGGCACCAGGGGGCCCGATCCTTAGAACAGCGAGCTGGCTGCGTTGATGTGCGAACCGACCAGAATTCCCCTGCACTCGTTGTGCCTTCACAACGTTCACAACATGTTGTCGCTGGAAGACGACTTCAATAGCATGCTTTATACTGTGTCGTTGGACTGGAAGCACTTGGCCGAAGCCGAGCAAGTCATTGCAAGCCCAAAAGTCCAGCCCAGGTGCATGCACCACAGCTGAAAGTCCGACCAGACGGGAAGCGCTTCCCGCAACTGCCACGAGTGCAGACAATGCCTGTTGCTTGCGTTGCCATCGAAAGGTTTACGGCTTGTGATACATACTGAAACGCATGTGAAGACAAGTGCACAGCTTGCTCGAAGTTACATGGCCACAGCAGTTTCTGCATTTAATGTGTCTACATGATGCTGCACGGCTGGTAATTCCTGGAGTTAGTACAGGCCCTTGTTTTGAGAGATGCTGATGGGTGTTGAAATGGGGTTAGGTTTTGATAGATGCTGTTGAAATTGAGTTATGTAGCTGCGGGCCAGCAGCTGTCAGCAAAACTGCGTTGCGTTTCTGGTTCTCACATGGCTAAGGCTAAGGAGGAATATTCAGGATTTTCATGAGCACCGGGCGGTGGCGACTGGCCACCTTAATTTCAGTCGGCCTGGGCTACAGACACAGTAACAAACAACCCCTGTGTTCAGTGAGCCGGAGCCTACATCACCAGGAAAGTGTAAGTTCGAGGTGTCGCGCCTGTAGCCCGGAATTCGAAGTGTTTACAAAAAGCAGTTTCCAGTGCTTGGCGTCAGTCCTTTGCTGCGATGTGTTGATAGCTCTCCGCAGCTCTGGCGACGCCAAAGGCTACCGGCTGCATTTACAAAATGTTCTGCCGTTCTGCCGCCTGCTGTGACCCGCCGCCAGGCGGTAAGTGTAAGCTTGGGCTTCATGGCGCTGCTGCTTCCATTTTGACCAAGCATCTTGCCTCACTCTGGGTCAGTGTGCGTGATTGCTGTGTGCTGTAGACTGGACTCGTTGGCGAACTCGGTTGAAAGCTGTGCAGCCGTGCTTAGTACATCGTCGGTCGCCTGCCTCACGCAGATTCAGACTTCGTTGAGTACACAGGCAAAGCCACCACGCCTCCAGCAGCCTTTCACGTTAGATGGCAATTCCTACTCAAGCCTATGGTCGAAACTACCTGCAGTCTTTGTCCTTTTGCCATGGTTGACACAGCGTGGTGTCACAACGGCAGAGGTCATCGCAAGCGAGTTGAGTGTTTAAGCTTTTGGCTCTCAGGGTTTTGGGGTTCGATGGGGTTCGTATTTTGGTGTAAAGGCTCTGTAAGGCACTGTAAGGCGTTTGTATACGTTTGTATGCTGCGTTACTACAGTCGATGGGTTAACGGGAAGCTGCAGTGGCGTTATAGTTCTTTACACGTCACGTCACATCCGTGCATCTGTTGGCGTTCGCAGACCACTGCTGAATCAGCGATCATTGGCCAATGTACCGCAGGCAGTGTGGCTCGTGATTGTAGCCAATTTTTGAAGCAGCGTGCCACAATAGAAAATAAAAAGACGTTGGACAAATGGCAAGCGCTGCTGCGGTCGAGAAGAACTTGGCCAAGCTAGATGCAGTGATGCGCAAGACCAAAGCCTCAAGCTCGCAAAAAGCGGTTGAACGTTACTAGGTTTCGTGCGCTTGAGACCTTGTGGCGCTGTAGCCACATGTTCCCTTTGCAGCAATCGAGGTTTTTGTTGCGCCCGTCGACAGACGGATCCTTCGGAGCAAAGCTGTTGTCAAGGCCCCCGGATCAACACCGCAGAACGCCGCTTCGTAGTCGTAGTCTTCGTAGCAGTCTTCGGAAACTGACTTCTGCCAGGGAAGGTCCTGGCCCATGCAGCTCCATGGCCTGCGCCCACCCAGTGAGGCGTCGCTAGGGGTTCAGTGCATGGGGCCTTGATCTTGGCATGAGGCAACGTTGGCTTGAGGTGCTACTTTCACATGCTTTTCAAAATGTCAACGCAGGCAAGCTCCAGCTCCAGCGGCGCAACTCGCAGTCCCTCCAAGGACTACATCACCCGTAGAAAGCAACCACGAGACTTGAGAGGGGTCTCCGCGGGCAGGACACCTCTCCTGTCGTGACAGAGAAGGCACGTCATCCCGGTTGTGCTGTAGCGTATGTGGTGTCACAGTATTGTGTTCACGGGTGACAGTTGGATGTCTGCTTTTGCCATAGGGCCGCATCCATTTCATTTGCTGGTGGCGGCGATGGTGGTTGCTTTTGCTGTTGCAGTTGAGGTTGTGGTGATGGTTCTTTTTGTTGTCATTTTTTCGCGTCGTTGATTGCGGTTGGTCTTGCTGCCGCCGCCGCCGCCGCCGCTGCTGCTGCTGCTGTGCAGTAGTCATTGGTGCTAATGTTGAAATGCAAGCTCCTGATACATTCAGTCTGGGGACAGTGACCAGGTTGAGCAAACGTGCTCAACTGCATCGAGCGAACGCAAGGAGACGCTGCTGGGCAGTAATGCATCTGAAGCACAGCCAGTCCTGGTTGCGTTGCTTGTGCGAGGCAGCAGCCCATGAACACATCCAGAGGCTAGTCTCTAAAGTGTGCTTAAAGCGGTTTTCATTGAACTTTGCGCTGACCAAGGCTGACGCTTGAGGAGCCCTAGCTGAAAACAGCAGAGCAGTCCCGGACAGTGTGTGTTTTGCAGGAAAGGAATGTGGGATCTGGTTGTTTTTTCTAGGTCTGGCCCATCTGGCTCGGACTTGCCTTTTTCCCCAAACAGTCTACTGTTGGGGTTCTAAATTCATTTAAGGATTGCCGCCATTCTGAGGACTGTTGCCGGCTTCCTGGGCTCCTTGTCTCCCTTTGTCTCCCTGTGTCTCCCTTTGTCTCCCTTTATGTTGCCGGGTTGCTGTGCTCCTCGCCTCCCTTTGTCTCCCTTCGTCTCCCTTTGTCTCCGTCGTCTCCACTGTTTCATTGACGTGCCTTTGACTGTTTGGGGTCTTCGGTGGTGTAATTTAAGTCTGGCTGGTCCTGTGGTCCTCTGGTCCTGCGGTCCTCTGGTCCTGCGGTCCTCTGGTCCTGGGTCCTCTGGTCCTGCGGTCCCGTCCTGCGACCCCCTGGCCAACCCCCCCGGTTTTAGAAGCCGCGCAAGCTTGCTTCAAAACACTATAAAAATTCCAATGCGAGCATTGTGTTTGCAAATAGCAAACCCATCATTTTCTTTGCAGCCGCGCAAGCTTGCTTCAAGACCATGTGAATCCTTTGCAAACACATCATGCGTTGTGCTGGCCAAACCCATGGTGGGAGCATTGTGTTTGCAAATGGCACGGGGGGAGTGCTGCGCACAAGCCGAGCCAGCGTATCCCTTCCAAAGCCGTCATGCGAGCATCGTGTTTGCAATGGGGGGGGGGGGGGGAGCTGCACCCCTCCCAATCCGCCCCGCTGAACAACACCCGTCAAATACTGTGATTGTTAGGATTTGGAGCATTTTCATGCGGGCTAACGTACATAAACCGTGTGCGTTGCAGGTTTGGGTCCCGTTCTTGAACGTACAGGAGCTTGAAAAAACAACGCTTCTCGGATGTGATGCATTTTCGATGTATTTCCCGTGGAACTGTAATTGCTGAGAACACTGCAATTTGCGGTCTTTAAAGCAAGTGAATACTGTAATTGCTAGGATTGGGAGTATTTTCAATGTAATTTACCACCCAGGACTTGGAAATGTGGAGACACTGCTATGTACAGTATCAAAAGATCGGGACTACTGTAATTAATTGCTGGGATTTGGAGCACAGTCAAACAGGCAAACGTACACAAATAGGGTGATTTTGAAGTTTTTGTGCGCTTTTGGTGACAATCAGGAGCTGGAAACTCGGAAAACACTTCAAATTACAGTTTCTAAGCCTGTGAACCACCAAGGTGCCGAGCCAGACAATGGTAACAAAAGCAAGGAGAGGCAGACCTAGGAAAACACAAACTCCGCATTTTATGTGAATGACATGCATGCTCTGTCGGGGCTGTTGTACTCAGACTTTTGGCAGGGCGGGTTGTAGCATTTTCGTCTCGGAGCCTCGCCCTGTGTTGCTGAGGACTTTCAAGGAACGTGGGTCGACGCCGATGGGACACACGGCCAAACCGAGCTAGCGTAGTCCTTTCCAGAACCAACATGCCATCAGTGGCCCTTCACCCGTGGTTTTGCGGGTTCCAACAAATTCAGCTACAGACGAGATCTATGCGAGTTGCATGTCGCCATGCTTAGACCTGGACTGTGTCGCACATGTTGTGAGTTAGCTCGCACAACAGCAGCTCAAGCGCCGCTCAGGAACAATGTGCATGTTGCCGAGGACGTGGAGGGAGTTGAACGTCTTGCAATACTGTAGCTGCGCGGTTCGTGCTTGCCCCTCACAGCTTGTGTTGGAAGCGTAATGATGTTACTGGACTTTGCATCTACCACAGAGTCACGAGCTTCATGGATGCGCGTATCCTCTTGATGTTGACTGATCAGCACCCAAATTATCTGCGGTGCTGTTGCGGTGTTCTTTATGAACGGTACTGGTAGCTCTTGGATTGCAACCGTCTACTGGCCATCAGACGTGTATGTGAGGCCGCTCAATTTGGAGTGTTCGGACAGCTGGTGCGGTGCCGAGCGATGCCAGTTTGCAAACATGCAGCTTCTTCTCTTCGGTGGCTTAAGACATGTCATGGAACACTATGAACCAGATCTCTATGGCCCGTGGTGCCGACAGTCGCCGGGCAAGGTGGCAACGATTACGCGTCCTCCGCTGCGCCAGCTCCGCCTGGAGCTCTGGCAGCCAGAGGCAGGGTGGTGGCAGACATCTGAAAGTACCTGGAGACAACTAGCTCTCACTACTGGCTCGTGCAGTTCAACACTGTTGTATATCTGCAGAGACAAACTCTTTTCCTGAGTGCAAACGTTTGCCAACTGCTCCAGCGCTAGGGCAGCTCCCAGTGGCGCTGTGGCAGAGCGGACCTCAGCATCGCTGAGCTACAGAGTGCCGAGAGTGGCTGCGATAGGCTGCCTTGAAGGAGTTGTGCCAAATTATTAAATTGTGTCAAGTCGTGTCATCCCAGTGTTCCGGTTGAGGTGCCGTGTTGACTGCCCACGCAAATGAGCAGCTGGCCGCAGCCTCGAAAAAACAAAACGACAGAGCTGTTATGAGCCGCTTGTGAATATCTTTCGGTTGATACTTGTTCGTCCTTCCCAGATTTGGCGCTTCCCGGGTGGAAAAGTGTCCACTTGGCTACGAAAGGTACCTCGGTGGAGATGTTTAGAGCAGAGTCACCAGCATGTAGTTTCTGGTGGGAGAAGCACCGCCTGCAGGCAGCGTTGGAAGAAGGCGTGGGCGACCAGGCCTCGATATGCTCCGACATGCATCTTCGACTCCAACACTCTTGTCATTGTGCAAGTCTTGCGCATACTTGCGCCGCACCCAAGAGATATGAACATGCCTGTCTCGCGGCTTCTAGGGTTCTAGAGCAAGATGCCTGCTGTCCACACTTGTGGCACTGACTTGTGCAGGGGTTGCTTGCCATTTGGGATCCCGAATACGGCGACTGGACGGCACAAGCTCGTCTCATTCAACTGCAAGTGCGCGTGCAGGTACCCAGCTCACATTTAGCCTTTTTCCCTTGCAAGGTTACGGCCCTTGGGGTCTCTCTATGCCGACGGTAGACCAGTGACTCGGTTTGATCGGTGGAGACCGCAACTTTCGATGTTTGGATCCCTTTCTTTGCCGTCTTGAGGTTCTCAAAGAAGTTTGTAAGGTTTTAAAGAGGCGATCCACATCAGTAGCCGGAAAGATGGAATGCACGAAGCTGAAGGTTGAGCGTGAAGATGTTACTGAGGAACGTATCCTTGAACGACTTCGCATGGATGCTGTCCAATGGCACAACAAACCAGATGATGACCTCCAAGCTGCAGAAGGAGTCGGGGGTTTTGAACAATGCACAGCAATGCATGGCAACCCCTCGCCATTCACAATTTTGAGGAGAAACTCTGTGGCGGAAGCCACTGACAAGTAGTTTTGAGAATAGTTAGTGCTGTTCGCTGTCAAGCCTCGCCCGCAAGATCCCTCTGCCTTTTGCGGGCAAGGCTCCACGCAGGCTCAAGGAACGGTGCCATGGGTTCTTTCACGCCAGGATGGAACTATGGTATTGGTTCCCCTGACGGAAGAAGGCCTCCAAGAAATGACGCGCTGAACTTTCTCCGAGAGGACATGACTGCAGCTAGAATCAGCCAGAACAATAGGCGCTGTTTTCATAGAGCATGCAAGTTGTGATAAGGAGAGCTGCAAGGTTGGCAGGGTAGCTGCGTTGATGCCCTCTACCCTATATCCGGTACTTTACTGGCGTCCCTCCCCCAAGCTGGCATGAAGCAATGATAGTGGCTGTAGCAAAGGGGGTGGCCTTCGCCAGCAGCCGAGTGTCTCCGCTGCTCTTGCCCATCGCCGGACGGCTTGTTGGGCTTCCTTCATCTCTTGAAGTATATACAGACTCAGCCAGGCGCTTTCAGCCTCGCACCCGATTTTTAGGAAAGGCTGCGCTTGGTAAAAGGCACAGGCCTTTGGCCTGGAATGCGGATTTGCCGTAGCCTTACCAAGCCAAAGCGAGCTCCTTCTGAAATTTTGTTCGGCTTCGGTCTTTGCGTGCGCATCAGCCTCGCAAGCCTCACCTGAGATTCCCTTACGGGAACGTGCTGCAGCTGTGGCCAAACCGGGAGTGACAGAGGAAAGCCTCGTTCGACTCATGTGCGAAGATTTTTTCTGGCCAGTTCTGTAAAAGGTCTGTAAAAAGCCTGCGAACCCAAGATGTGAGAAGCCGATCTAAAGCAAGTAAATGGAAGTACTTTGAAGTACGGATGTCTGAACGAAGGCAGACTTTGCCGGCAATCCTGGCTCCTGGCTTCGGCACATGCCGTATCTCGAGCAAGGGAGAAATTCAGGTACAAATTGCAAGCTCCACAGCTCCGCGCAGGAGAATTTAGAGGGAAAATGCTGCTGGAAGCAAGTTTGCCCTTGGTTTGGGTGGTTTCCTCGTAACAGTCTCCGGATGAGTTTCTGGCTGTGAACCATGTCGCGCGTGAGACTTTTGGTGCAGGGGCTTGTGGCCGTGGATGCAAAAGCAGCAGCAGTAAGAGGACGTCCACGGTTACGTGGTGTGGGGCCACAGAGTACAGTATCTGTCAGAGAGGTCATCAGCAAGCTGGCTACATGCTTGAACATCTGAGGCCGCTGCTATGCTTTGCGGCATTCCTGGCAACATCATCAGTTGCCAACGCCTTTGCCAAGGCAGGCAGTCATGAGGATTAATTAATGGGCTGCACATCCAGCATTTCTTCGTTTCCTTTTTCTAACTTCCTTCGATGCAAGGGGGGTCCCAGGCGGTGCCTTGACACCGACAGCAACAATCATCCGGAGCAGCCGGTATTTTCCGATAAGTCTGTCCGGAACCAGGTAAATCTTTGGCAACGTCAATGGGATGCGCTGGGATCCTAGTCCTGAGAGCTGCTTTGAGCATGCAGCATGTTGAGCAGGGATCTTGGGTACCTGCTTCCCAGTCTGCAGGAGCAGCATCTTGCGCTGGAATCTGCGATCCACGTGGGTATTCAGCCTAGAGTGACCGGCCCTACAGGAACCGCATCTACAACGAGTACAAGAAGCGAAAGATCCGTGAATGGAGCTCTGCCGGCTACCACGTCGGCACAGTGGCTGGGATGAAGCGAGCAAAGTGTAAAGCAGCCGCGAGCCGCATCGGCTGGACGCGAGGCACGGGATCGCGCCGGCGAGGGTACGCTCCTCGGCAAGGCCGCGTTGACTGACGTTGTAGCCACATTCGCTCTCAGCAGCCACTTCTGCGCTAGTTATGGGAGGAAGATGAGAACATCGCTGTTGAGCCTGACGCTCTCGAGCGGTTGGCCAAAGAGCCGGTGACTCTAAAGTTGCGTCGGCACGCTTAAGCAACACGTGGTATTCTCGAATCCCCAGTACGAAAGCCTGTTGGTCTTCAGAGTTATCAGCTCTTGGTTAATTTCATGGTTACAGGCACACTGCCACCCGGCCAGGCTGGATCGGTCCGGACGTGCCATCAAGCAGGGTGAGAAAGTCGATGGGTCCGACACCCAACGAAAGCGGAAGCAGCCGCGCATGCGTGTTGAAATGGTGCCATCTGCTGGGCCAGAGTACTTTCGTGAAGCATGCACTCCTTGACAACACCGTTTCCGTACGCTTCTGTATGGTAACTGGCAACTCTGTATGCTGGTGATTCTACTGACATGTTGCAAACAATGCTCGTGTAAGGTCGATGCCATGGTCCTACAAGACCTATCGTGGTCTGCACTCTGCACAGGTCTGCTCTTAGACCAGGAACTTGGCCGACAGCACTGACCTAAAATGGAGATCTGTCTTGTGCTCGACTCCCCGGCTTATGTAAGACTGGTCTGTGTTCATGCGAGCATGGCAAGAAACGTGACTGGGTTCCAGGCGCCTGAAGGCCTGGAAGATTTCCTTGGCAGATACAGCAGCCGGAGCCCTGGGAACTTGCAGATACGAACTCTGAAATCTCTCAGTTCCTTCCTGAACATCACACATCAAACGTCAAGTCGTTCTTACCACTCTTGCTGTTTCTTGTTGAAAGACGTCTGATCAATCTTTTCTGCCGCTGAGAAATGGACAAGAGTGTGGAGAGCATCCTCGGCCCACGGGCACTGGATGAGTTCAAGCTCCTTGGCACTGTTGCACTTCATGCGGGCTTAAAGATGTGCAGCTGAAACGGGTTCTGGGATACTTTGCATAAACTCGAGGTCAAAAAGTATCACGTTTTCTGGCGATCATTTTTCGTTTGCTGGAGGGGTTTTCTGATTAACCGAAAGTCGGGTTGTGCACTTGGAGGGGTTTCGGAAACATGAGGTTGACAGGGTCACTACGGCTCATGCCCACCTACCGAGGACCAACATGGCCGTCTTTCATGGAAAGGCGCGCAGCGCAGCGTGTCAGCTCGGGCAGGGCTCTGACGCTGCTAGAGCTCGACAGGGTCGTTGTTCTCATGTAGATGAAATTCTGGTAGGGAGCCAAATCTACATGTCTCTCTCCGACTTTTAGTGCGAAGCCCTCGAATGTTTCCAGTAATGGTTCAGGACGAGTACCGCGTGATCCGAACCTTAACGTGGCCAGGAGGCTCTTCTGTGATGTGCTGTGCAGACTTTGGGGGCATTCTTGGCTGCTGGTTACATCTTTCCCATGTCTGGAGACTTCACAGGGCCTCGTAATTTCTGCAAATTGGGGCAGCATCAAAAGCTTTAATTCGAGACTTGTTATTGTTGGAGCGTAGGTGGTGCTACTGGTGGTGGCCCAACGTCGATTATGCTGCAGAGACCTCAGCCGACCTTCAGGATTCTTCAGGCAATCTCAAGCATGTTTGCCTGTGGTTAGTCGACAATGGGTCGCAGACCACGCGTAGACGAACCTGTCTGCGGGGCACCCATCTGCTGCATGAGATGCAGTTGTCGCGAGGATTGGTGTTCTTGACATCTCCACCCGCAGTTCTCGCCTAGCCAGCCGTGCAGTCTACGAGGCCAGGTCTCCCTCACTGCAGTGGGCGCCACAGCATGGAAAGCCTGAAAACATGCTGACAGCCGACAAATGGACTTGCTCACCCCCACGCCTTACAAAGAGCAAGCAAGGCTTCTAAGAGCAAAATGAATGATTTTGTTCAGAATCTTTCTAGATCTTAGAAGCAGTCCTAGCTCGGAGGTCCCGCATGGAATTTCCATTCGTTTGGATGTTCTATCCTGTGCATCTAGAGGAAAATGCCTTGGAGTGCGGCCTCGTATGGGGTAGGTTAGGAACAAACGGCCTGGCTGAAGTGGCAAGGAATCCAGTTTTCTGCTTCAAGCTCTGAAGCCCAGACCCACTAAACACCTGCTGTCGAATTCGAAGGGAAATGGTTGGAGGCATTGGGGTTCATGTAATGGAAAGTAGTCTACATTGTGGGATGGGCCCTGTTGTTTTGTTGATTCACCTATCAGAGGCACGGATTATTGTCGGAGACTGCGATATGCATCTAGATTTAATCTGACTATGTCTTTTTGCTTTCGGCAAGCACTATGACATGATTAGACTTTATACTCTCTGGCTCCAGGTGCAGCCTTCGGCGCTGTTGGTGGAGCTTTGCAAGGAGAGGGCAGGATCCCCAGCCAAAGTCAGAGGATGATGATCCTGGTATACCAGCTTATGAGAAGCATGGTGTGGCTGCTGGGGTATTCAGATTTGTGACTTCCGTGAGCTCAGATCGGCAAGCAGCTGGTCATGCCCAGAACTCAGTACCACGTGACATGAATCGCGTGCGACTTGTCTCAAGGACTGCATCATGACATGAGGCCGCGAGAGCACAAGGAAGCTGTGAAGAACTACGCTCGCGGGTTTGCCACAAGTGACACTGGCTTTCCTTGTCAACGGCCGATGCCCGTTTAATCTCATGTGAACAATCATTCCGTGTCAGTCCTGCTGCCCCTGCTTTAGAAGCTGAAGCTTCACAAGGTCAAGTCTTGACCACTGAACAACCTGTAAGCACGAACCAAGTGAGCTGGAGAAGAGCGTATGCTTGGCAGCCAATCCCCATCGCCTTCACGGCGAGCAGCATCATCTTGACACCATCCACGGGGACAGCGAGGCCTTCGCCTGCGAAGTCATGGTAGTGGGACAGAGGGCCACAAATCCCTTGTATTTCTCCCCAGCGCAGGCTTTAAATCGCTGGACGAAGGGAGAGCCTTATGCCGAGGCAGTGAAGGAGTTTGTCCAGAGCCAAGTGACTGGAGGTTTCACCAAGTTGATTGTGAATTCTGTACTCCTGAGCTTGCTCCCATCTTGAGAAGCAGAACCTACCTGGACCTACCTCCCTCGCCAGTGCAAAATTTGCAAGATGCTCTCTTCGGTTCTTGCGGACCTGTGGCCAAGACATCGCAGCCAGCGGGTTCTCTGCCGAAGTTGCTCTGTGGCGTGCCCAGTCAGTTTACTGCTTGCAGTGCTGTTTTTTTTCTATCAGCAGCTCGGTGCAGACAAGCCTGTGGGTTGAGCATGCAGAGTTTGGCACAAGGCCTTGGAGATGTCCGCAGCTCCACGATGGAGCGCATTGAGAAAGAGCAGGGCAATGAAACCACGGTCAAGGCCGACTTGCGCCAGGGTGTTCCATCGCATGATTCGCATGCAACATGGGCTGATGCTAGCATTGCTGGGCTGCTGTCGTCGAAGCAAGTTCAAAGGCTAAGTTGGCAAAGCTTCAGTATCTCGAAGGGTTTGTGGCGGCTGAAGCAGTTTCCGGGACACGTTCTATTCTACTGGTACTTGTAGCTGAAAGCTCTCGGCAACCAGATTCCATCCCGCCGAAGTACTGTAGCCAAGAAGTGTCACACGTCGCACGAGAGCGTGTCCGAGTGATTTGTTCGCCCTTTAGCGGCATTCGTGGTTGTCGGGCTATTGTCCCATGTCTGCAAGAGCATAGGCACAGACGATAACGCTTGAGAGGACCTGACTCACTCATCGCGGGCCAAGCAGCTGGCGTAGCCGACCTGGCACCTCCTGTTACATGCGCGACAAACACACTCACACATCTTCATGAGGCAGGCTCTGATAGGGATGTAAAATAGGTTGCTGGATCTGCTACAGCTCCATGATTTGTGTGGTGTTTGGCATAAGGCGTGGCATTCTTTCTATGGCAACGTCGGGTCACAAGGCCTTGCTTCTGCCGATTCATACAATACTTGCGCGTAAGTTCCGTGTGATCGTTCTTCAAACTGGCAGAGGTCATCCTGGCCATCATGGACACTGATCGCTTGGGTCCTGCCGCTTGCCAAGCCCTGCTACGCACAGTCCCCTTTAGGTTCAGTGTTGTCGGGCGGCTGCTTTGCGTGCATAGAAGCGTGTCCAGGTTCATCCAGGGCATGACTTCCTCTCCTAGGTGTCAACATGGCTGGAACGGGCCGGTGCGGTGCTGCTAGCGGCCGGGGAGACCCAGGAATGTCATGCCGATAAGAAAGCAGAGACAACGAGCAGCCAAAATCATGTGCCAAAATCATAGCACCTCCCGAGCGCCACCTGCCGAGTGCAAGGCTGCTGACGCGTCCGACATCGAGAATAATCGAGAGAGCAGCCAACTCGGACCAATGCAAGTTTGTACGTCTTGACTCTTGTGGCTTCTTGGGCTCTTCGGCATCTGTTTCGCGCACAAGTAAATGCTTTCTGAAAGTTTGAACAGAGAATCGCTTGGTCAGTGGCTGAGGCCTGTCTGCTGACAGTCGCATGGGCTTGGAAGAGCGACCGGAGGCATCGTTCCAATGTACAGATGGGTCCCAACGCTAAAAGGTTTTACTGGTAGCCGTAGTTCTCCGAGAGGAACACACTTTGCTGCCGAAGCTTATTACAGTCCTCAAATAGCATCAGGCTGGATCTCCACAGGAAGCTCGACTTCGGGCGTCGAAGGCTGCCACGGCAGCAGGGTCTAAAAGAATAAAAGCGAGGAGATTCTGAGTTTGGGGCTTCCCGGTTCCACCATGTTCCACTGTCATCCACTGTCTAAGCATCAAAGGAGGTTCGAGGATTTCGGCTCTTTTGAGACTTCAAGGCTGACTTGCGTCTTGAGACCTGGAATCCCCAAACCTGTTGCACAAACCGGGACATGTATGGCCTGGGGACAACCTGTAAGGATAAGTAAGGAGGCAAGAAATGACAATTACCTTGTTCTACACTGCTCGACCACATTTGTACTCTGAGTGATACCATACGGTATGATTCATGTAGAATACATGTATCATGCCGCAAACATGATCTTCCTGCCATCACAGAACAATCCAGCCTGACAGATGCTCCGTACAGCATTCACAGCACACGACATTAAGCAGCCGTGGCGTGTTGCAGATCGCCGCCCAAGCACGGCACGCTTTGCAGCTGGACGGTCGAGGACGGACGGCCTTCTCATGATGACGCCCAAGGTGTAAGTCAGATTCCTGTGATGTCTTGCAGGGCCACTGGGCTTCTTCCTGAACGATGAGGCACAGGGAACGCCATTGTCTCTGCATTTCTTAGGGCTGGAGATTCAGCAAGCACGTATGCGTTGTACTTTCCTTTTCACTTATGAAGACGCTGTGCCATGCTCATGATCCAGTAAAGTGGCAGATCATGCTGGTGCCAACGCTGACACCGGAAGGCATTGGAATTCCTCAGCCGCCGGCAGCAGCGGCTCTTGCGAATGTACGGACCCTGGCTAATACCGACCACCTGGACGGAGGATCATGGAGGTCGCTTGCAGACTGCGGGTGGGCAAATGGAGTAGTATACTGCATGCCGAGGACCCGATTGAAAGACCTCGTGCACCACACAACTCCCCGGAAGCATTGGGAGGTACGGATAGGAACTGCACGGCGGCTTTGCGGGAGTGATCTGCGATGTCTGGCCAGCAACATAGGACAATGGAGTCTTAGGTGGCACAGTTTCCTCTGAGTGTCGGCGAGCTTTTGGTTCCGCCACATTTTGGCTCGCTTGCAGACGGCCGAAGAGCTCTACGTCGTCCGACCCGGCGACCGTATCCCTGGACCAGAGACTCGCCTGTCAGGTGGGCCCAGGTCCTTTGGACAACTACAATATACAGTTATGCATGATAATGTGAGGGGGACACCCTGCTTCAGCCGACGCGACGCCGGGATAGTTGGGCGCACGCACGGGAATTTAAAAGCCACCGGGCTCGGCGGCCAGATTGTCTGCAAAAGAAACTTCGGCGGCCGCACCAAATAGTGGCCGCATTATGAGTCATGTGTATGCACACATATACACAAGACACACACACACACACACACCCCACACGCACGCACGCACGCACGCCCGCCCGCCCGCCCGCCCCCCCGCACGCCCGCCCCCCCGCCCGCCCCCCCCCGCACGCCCCCGCGCGCGCGCGCGCGCACGGACACGCACACGCGCACGCACACGCGCACATCACCAATCGATTCGGAACCCCTGTGATGCCTTAACTTTGGAATCCTAATGGCGCGGTTCCTTGAAGAATCGACTTCCCACAACATCCCACAACTGCTCTTCGGACTTCGACCTTACACAACAAGCGGGAAGGACTTCCAAGGTCCACTCCAAGCTGTCCAGGACCAAAGATGCACCCTTCAGCCGAAATTCTGTAGGCCCAACGAAAAGGCAGCAAGTGAACTGCAGAGCTGGCTTGGCGCTGTGCGTGTAAGGTGTGCAGCTGTTATCTGTTGGCTGAAGCTTGCTGAAGAATCTGAAGCTCGCGGGAGCCCAGTTAGGGCAGGACCCATGAAAACCACCAGGATGTGGTACGCTTTGCGTGCTCTGCGTGTCCTCCCGTTTAGAGGAAGGAAGGAAGGAAGACAAAACCATAGAAGGCAGACGCCGCCTCATTACTGAGATAAAGCCATCAAGACCACGTGACACAACAACAGACTATGAGAAGGGGGGGCAGCCCCGCAACCTGCCTCCAATAGTCATGAGCAGTCAGATGAGCAGCCAGCCACAGTATTTCCTATGCGCAAAAATAATCATTCAACTTCAAGCTAACAGCATCTCGACTGTGTCGAGGATCTGCACATGCGGCATTCTCCTGCGCAGGTCAGAAATCGCTAGGCCTCCGCTTCGAGCTGAAGCCTTGGAATTCGAGCACAGTCGGCAGTTCTCTCGGGTTTTTAATCTACTCAAAGAGTCGCCTGCCTCACGCATGCATGTCTCTCAGGTATGATCGGTTGGAGATTCCAGATCATTATCTGCGAGCGTGCCGCTTAGAGCGGGCATGATCATTCAGGGTCATGGGGTGGCATGGCAGAAGCACTCCTCTAGAGAGTTCGCATGCCAGCTAACAGGGGAGCCCGCTTTTTGATTTCCGATTCAGGTATTCTGCATTTAGCGAGCGAGTTGGTTAGCTGTGGTCAGCCCGTGTTCAAGCCTTTGCAACTGGGTACTGTTGCACTGAAAACACTCCCTGGATGAATGTTTCACAATGGCGGGTAACAGCTGAACATGCCAAGAAAGCATATCGCGAATGGCCCCACAGAACCGGACCCAAGTTAACCTTGACACGCGAAATCCACTCTGAAAAAATGCATGGACGAAAGGTGCTGAGGCTGGGACGCTAGCTATCCATAAACGACTTGCTGGGAGAGTTTTTTCGGAGTTCTGGGAGCTCTGAGGAGGCTGGCATGGAGAAGCACTCGGATGCTCTGTGGAGCCAACTCGTAGATCGTGGCCAGGCCGCCCCTCTTTGCTTTCCGACATAATAAGGGTCACTCAATTTGTTAAACTGCGAAAGGCTTTTAAAACATGCTTGAAAAAAAACGATCCCAATATTTCTTCGGCATGTTGCAGGCCCTGGAGCCGACGGATCCCATGGAGTTGTCTTGGTGGTCTTCTGGAGCAATCGAAGTCCCCCGCCTTGGATGCAAAGCTATAAACGGAGAAGCCACGGAAACCAGTATTAGGATTTTCGGGGAACACCAGTCTTGGGCCGTGCCTCAGGCGGACATACGGCAAGATGCCCTGGCGGCCTGGCCAGACGGGAGCTGACGAAAACAGGTTGGATGCATGTCCCCACTTCCTGTGAACAGTAGGGGGGGGGGGGGGGTCGTTGAACTGAACAGCCGTTGCGCATTCACATTTCGACCAAGCGTGGCAATCCTTAGGACACTCTGCAACAATGGTGCGCAATTTGGTGTACTTGCAGAAGAGAGGAATGTATCCTTCTTTCTATACGTACACACACACACACACTTAGTACATGCATCCCGCAATATCAGTATGCGCACAGAACTAAACTCTTCTCAGTGATCAGTGACAGGTGACAGCGTGCTCCATCACTCCCTGTTTCAAACCGTTGTTAAGAACCCTTCGAGCTGGGTACTGATACAGTACTGTTGTTTAATCATTACACGGTTTTGTACCTACTTCCAGTCCTTCCGAATGTGAGATCCTGCTTTTGTAGTATCAATTTGGGAAACCGCACCTACTTAATTTCTGTATCCGTCCTGTTTGCAGAATGCCAGTAGTTGGGGAGGATGACGTTTTTCGCGAACTTATGGGTCCATCCAGTGGCATCAACCAAAGCAGCGAAACTAACTGCGGGCACCCGAGACGGAAGAAGTTTGAAGGCGCACACGTTCAGCTTCGCACTCTGATGGTATGCCATGCTGCGTCGGTCATGGTTGTTTCTTACCCCCATACTTGGCACATTTCTGGTGACAGCAGGTGTCCCTCACAGGTTGCCCCCCACACAACCATGGCAAATTGCTCAAGATTCCCGTGGGACAATGGCAATCTGTTGTATTGTGTTGTGGTAAATGAATATGTTTAATGGCGACGATGACGATAGTGATGGTGGTCTGTCACATTTACCTTGTGCACTTTGCCAAGCCTTTGCTTGCACATGGCAGCCCAGCAGTCATGCGCTGTTGTGGCCCCGGTAGAGCCCACTACAGAAGCTTCAGGCATATCGAAAATAGGAGCATTGGCTTCGGATTTGGCATCGAAGCTGTCAACATTGTCGGAGGCAGAAAGATGTGAATTGATCCATCGCCTTGCTCTATCGCCAACTGGGAAGAGTGAAGATGTGTCCAAGGATGAGACTATTCTTGGGCAACCCCTGCTGATGTTGTTTTCGCTGTTGGTGTTGGGTTTGGCTGCTCATTTCGGAGGGACGGTTATAAATGAGAGAAGACGCTACCACAACCGTCGGGCACAGAGGCAAGGTACTTTCACAGAGTATTTGCAGTATCGTTTTGGCTACTGGTACACCTGGACTGAACATTCTGCCGCCATTGTCCTTATGTCAATCTCACTGGCATTGCTGGTCTTTGGTGGAGCGCTCCTGAGAGTCCTCATTCAACAGCCCTTGTCCGAGGGCTTATGGTCTGCTTGGCTCTGGATTGCAGCACCTGACGGCGGGGCCTCCGCTGAAACTGCAGCTGGCCGTCTCGTTGGCTTAATTGTGTCAATTGGTGGCATGCTTGTGTTTGCCCTCCTGATGTCAGTTATATCTGAAATGTTTGAAGAGGCATTGCGCACGTTTCGGTTAGGCACTATTCCGGTTATTGAAGGCAACCACACAGTCATCATCGGCTATGTGACACCGACGCTCCGCATTTTGGCCAAGGAGCTTTGCGCCGCATGCGAAAGCGAGGGTGGCATCTTGATCGCAGTCCTGTCCCCGATGCCAAAACCCGAAGTGGAAGAGCTTCTGAGAGATGGCGATGCAGGTTGGATGAAGAACTCGACCATTGTTGTCCGTTCCGGTGATGCTTGCAAAGCGGAAGATCTCGCGAAAGTTGCGGTGCAGGGAGCCAAGAAAGTCATCATCATGAGTAAGCCCGGAGTTTGCCGGGAGGAGGCTGATGCAGCGACTATCAATGTCTTGCTGACTCTGCGAAACAATGGCTGGCCGAGAGAAGGGGTATCTGTGGTGCAATGCCAGTTGGTGCGCAACCAGGGGCTTTTCAAGCGACTCTTGACTGACGGGTCACAGGTGGTCACCGTCAATGACTTCATTGGTGAACTTATGGTGCAATGTAGCAGGCAGAGTGGTCTGGTGCATGCCATCCGGTCAGTGTTCAGCTTTGAGAACGATGAGTTTTATATTCAGCATGTGCAGGGCACGGCTGGGCGTACGGTCATGGACTTGTTATTCGCTCTGCCGAATACCATCCTCATAGGGATCAAGCCGCCTGACTGTGAGCTGGAGGTGTTGCCATCAATGGACCGCACCCTGAAGGGCGATGAAGAGCTCTGTGTGTTGGCCAAAGACGATTCAGCAATACCCAGATATGCTGGACCCAGCTCTGTGGATTTGTCTGGACAGATAGATCACAGCAACATTGTTGAGCGAAGCCCTGATGAACCTCTTGCTGGGCAGACCGTCATCATTCTTGGATGGAACAACAGCATTGGTGCTATTCTGGGTGAGCTAGATGACGATGTCGGCCAGGATTCACGGGTCATCATTCACGCGCCGGAGACAGTTTCAATGCGAGTGGAGTTTATTGAAGCAGCACAGAAGCGGCGGAAGCATTTCTATCAGAACTTTAGTATCAAGCATTCCCAAGGACCTCTTGGTGCACGTTTCCGGCTTGAAGAGTTACCACTTGAGACCGCATCGATGATTTTGATTTTAGCCGATGAAAGCTACGATGTATATGCACATGCAGCTGACAGCCACACGCTTGCGGCAATTGTACAGGTGCAGGATATCCTGGATGAACGCTGCGGTCCTGCGAAGAGCTCTGCTGTGATCATGCCGCAACTTCTCGACGTATCCATTGAGGAGACGTTGATACAAACAGGCATCCACAACTATGTCCTCTCTGGGCGGATGGCTGCTAGATTACTGGCAGTGATCAGTGAAGTACCAAAGGCTACCTGCATCATTGACTGCCTCACGAAGCACAAGGTGTTTAGATTCTCCATCGCGAAACTCCCGGAGTATCCTGCTGCAGCAAGTCTCAACTTCAGCGAAGGGGTGTCCTTCAATGATGTCACGATGGTGGCTGCCCTGGCAAATGAGGTGGTCTTGGGCTGGTCCAAACTTAATGCAGGAGAAGTTGGGCCTTGGGAAATGAACCCCAAGAACAGGACCGAGAAACGACCATGGCCTGAGAATGCTCGTTTGATCGTGCTGAGACGAACAGGTAAATGGAAGCCAGCCTCGTACAGGGGCGCGCGCTGTGCTTCTGTCGCGCACCCCTCAGATGAGCGGCGAGTATGCCGCCGCATTGAGTGAGAAAATGCAGGAGAACTATGATTAGAGCCGTATTGCTCATGTCAGTCTGTTGTGTCGATACATGATAGGAGCATTCTTGCATGGGCACGTCAGATTGTGTAATCATAATATGGGGCTGATGCATCAACGGGCCCGCAATGTAAGCGACTCTCGCTGGAGATTTCACTAGGTGTGAAATTATTCTTTATGTTAGATTCTTGGCTGTGTGTTAAAATGTTTGGCTTGTAACAGGCCCCCAGGGCCACCCCACGACAAAGCTCGTAACAAATTGGTCGTGCAGCAAGGCCTTCGGCTTTATCTAACATCTTGAGAGGTTCATCTTGAGAGGTTCAGGTGTTGTTGTGCACATGAGGGAGAAGGAGATTGAAAATCTGGATATTCTGGACCATTCCGT